TCAACAGCTCATAGTGAGTGGGGAAAGGCCTGTGAGGACCTGTTCCCACCTGAGGGACTATTGGCAGGTGATGCTGTTGGGAAAGGGTATCACTTTCCTCTGTGATGTAGCCACTGGTAAGATGCTCTTGCTCTGGTTAGTAACCCCCACCCACACTCAGGCAAGGGGGTCTAACTAAAGTCAGCGGATCACACCACCAAAAGAAGACTTCAAAGAGGGCGGGGAGGCTTGCTGAGAAGACGTGTTCTAGGGGAAAGGAGGGGGTAAGAGAGGGTGGAATAGGAGTGTGAGGAGAACTGAAATCCATTATATAAATGCAGGAAACTGTCAAACAATGTTTAAGTGCTACTGAAAAAAATTGGCTATTCACATACCAAGAAAAAGAGCTAAGGTGCATATCTTATATGACATCAACATACAAAACTAATATGGAGTGAACCATAAATCTAAAGTAAAATATTAAAACCTGAAACTTCTAGAATAAAACAAAGGGAAAATGTTTGGCCATGTTGGGTTAGGCAAATATCACTTAGATACTAAACCAAATTAGAATTTAATGAAAATCAAAACAATAAATTGGACTTCATCGTATGTTTTTTTAAAAATTTTAATCTCCATAATGTAATATAGAAAGTAAAAGGGCAACTCTCAGACTGGAAAATAATTATTGCAAAATATATGCAAGGGACCTAAATTTAGATCAAAGACCTCTTAAAAGTCTTAAAAAGAAACTCGAAATTTCAAATGACCAAAATCCTTTAACAGAAATTTCCTGAGTGAAACATGTGGATAGTGAATGACCATGTTACAAGATGCTTACCACTGCTAGTACTGAGCAAAAATAGCTGGCCATGGTGGTGCACACCCATAATCCCAGCTAATGGAAGGCTCAGAAACAGGAGAATAATTGCAAGTTCAAGACCAGCCTGAGATACACAGAAAGTTCTGGGCTGGCCAGGCTACATAGTAAAGCTCCATCTAAAAAGAAGAAGTCGGTGAAATACTATTATTAACCTATTAGAATTTCCAAAACTAAACCAGCCACACCAAGAACTGGAGACATGAGACCATGGGGCTCTCAAACATGGCTCATGGGAATATCAAATTCAGCCACTTTGGCAATGAATTTTACACTTACGTAAAAAAATTAAATTGTATCCATTTACCAAAGGATCAAGCCACTCCACACCTAAGTTTTTACTAAAGAGAAATGAAAACAAATCCCATATGCAAAAAGTTACACACACATGTTCTTAACAATGCAGCTATTTTGCAATTACTAAAACCTGAAAATAATCCAAGTGTCCACTAGCAGATGAATAAGCCAATGGGTTGCATCTACAGAATATAATGCTACACAATTAAAAAAGAATGGACTATTGCTTGTACAATAATCCACATGAGTCTTGAAGTAACTGTACTGAAAGAAGGCAGACAGTGACTCCTTAAGTATTCTATTGATAGAAAACACTAGAGTGCCAACTATTGTATGGTAACATAGCTGCAGATCAAGGGTTGAGGGTTAGGAGAGGAAGTGGAGTGCTTTGAGAATGTAAAAGACGCCTGTGGGACACAAGGAAAGGTTTAGATATTATTCTAGCTTGTTTTCTACTTCCGTGATAAAGCACTAACCAAAACCAACTTGGAGAGGAAAGAGCTTATTTCAGCTTACATGTCTATCCTTGAGGGAAGCCAAAACCAGAACCTGGAGGCAGGAACTGAAACAGAAACCACAGAGGAATTCTTATAGCTGGCTTTTTTAAAATTTTTTATATTTTAATACAACCCAGGGCCATTTTCCCAGGAGTGGTACCACTCACAGCAGGCTGAGCCCTTCCACCTCTATCATCAAGAAAATGTCCCCAGAGGCTTGTCAACAACAGGCCAATCTGATGGAAGCAATTCCTCAACTGAAGTTCTCTCTTCCAGGTGACTCCAGCTTGTGTCACGTATACAATAATAATCATCATAATCAGCAGCAGCAGCAGCAGCAGCAACAGCACAGGTATGATGGATATATTCACTAACGGTGTCAAGGATCGTATCATAAATGTACATATGTGTAAAAGTTTATCAGAATGTACTCTTTACATTATATGCATTAGTTTTACCTCAATAGAGTTGGAATTAGAAAGCAATGGAGAAGAATGGGAAGAAGAGGAAACCGAAGAGAAGGAAAGAAGGAGGGGAAAGAATTAAAAGGAAGAGGAAGAAGAGGTGAAGGAGAAAGAGGAAGGAAGGAGGATAAAGACAAAGAGAATGGGAAAAGACAAGAACGAGAAGAAAATGACGGCCAGAACTCAGTTTTTCCACAGTTCATTCCAGCCAGTACTAGTTGCCAAGAGAGGTCAAGGACATGGGCTTCCTAGAAACACAGCCCAAACAGGAACCACTACCACCCTAGGTTAGACCTCCAGCAGAGCTCTCTACCCCAGCTTATAAACTTCAACATCTGAATTGTGTTTGTCACTGTCCCAAACAATCCCTGGCTTCAAAGCCACAGGAGATCGCCCATTGCCATCACGACTTCCCACCCACAGGGCGGCCCTGTTCTAATTCAGCAGGGAAACAGAACAAGAGAGCTCCAGTGAGAGAAGTGTAAACAGGAGAAGTCATCTGGGTCTCCCACAGCCACCCTCTTCCCATCCACCACCAGGAACAATGGCAGAGGAAGCCGGGGGCTGCGGCTCTTGGGCAGTTACGCAAACCAAGCTGGCACCCAGCACGGCTTTTGTTCAGAGATTTTTTTTTTTTTTAAAGTCAACCCTCTTATAAACAATTCCGAGTGTTTTCTCCCTTGGGAAAGCATGTGGCTGCTTTCCTGGTTTACCCCATTTTCAGTGAGATCATTTTCGAGAGGCAATTTCTGAGCCCATGCGCTGGGGTGGGACCACCATGCTAGCGGGTAGCTAGCAACTTGCTCAAGTGAGAGTATGAATGGACTAAGGTCTCGAGATATATATATTTTAAAAATCCCAACTTAAAATAGTCTTCTAGACCTCATATTTAATAGAGTCCCTGTCCATTCAGAGACTTTCATAGAAATAACCCCACAATTAATGGCGTGTATTTCTCTGCAAAGCCACGTACTTGAAATATACAGAGGGCGAGTCTGTTTATGAGCAAGAAAACTTTGATCCAAAGATAAAAATAGAGCGGCGGGATTCAAGCAAATTTACCCTGCTCTCTCCAGGAGCCTCAGGTTTAACCCATCTTGGGAAGAGTCCAATCTCAGGTGATGCAGAAATCTGTCTTCACAAGCAGCTCCTCAGTACTTTGAAAGGCACAGTTAATTAACCCTCCTTCCCTGCAATGATATCTGGGGAGAAAAGCATGGGTTCTTATAAGTAGACCCCATAACTGGGTTTATCCCTGTGTGGATTTCTATCCAGAACACATGACATAATTATTCCCTACTCAGGTCAATATACAGAAATCTCAAGTCAGAGCTTACCACACCCCTGCTTGAGACTTCTCAGTCATTCCCCAACACCCTGTGGAACTTGACCTGGTCCCTGCCTACCTAGATGCCACTGTGTTGGGGACACCTATTTCAGATCATCATGCATCTGAGACTTTTCCTACTTTTCTTTCTTGTCTCTGTTTTCCTCGAGATCAGCTCTTCTCATGCCCCAAATCTAAACTAGAATGTTGTCTACGAGGCCATTTCCTTTCCACATCCTTGACACTCTCCTTGAATGTATGTCACTAAACGTCAGCACTTTTGAACAGCATCTTTCTCTAACTTGAAAACTAGTTTTATGAGTTCAGGAACCATGTAGGTTTTTATTCATTGTTTTCTCCCTACTGGCCAGTGTATGTGGCTGGCATATGATGCTCATTACATCATCACTGAATACAGAATGAATAAAGAACTGCGTTCCTGTTTCTTTGTACCCTGCTTGCTCTCTCTCCCAAACTCCAAGCCCACTTACCACTCACACCTCATTCTTGCCCTAGCCATAAAAATCTTCCCCAGGCTTCCTGTGTTTCAGTGTTTAAACACAAGGCATACAAAGTATCAGAGACATGCAGGCAACAGTTGGTGCCCAATAAATGTAGCTAAATTTAGTAAGCCCATAATCAATTCTTCCAAAGTAGACTTGTGATCCTGCTTCAAGTGTCAATCTTTCTCTGCTACTTACATAAATTTTCACATACTCCCAGTACCATTAATGCATTTTAAAGGGATGTTTGTAAAGCTTTAAAAACCTATTACATCTACCAAAGGACCAATTGTGATTACCACCACAGTGGAAATAAAGCTATGTACTTCTATTTAATATAAAACAATAATAATAATAATGGCAGTTATTGGAAATGTGACAATATTATTGACAACATTAACAAGACAACTACATCTCTCTCCATAATGTTATTGGCAGCATTTAATGACCTCTTTGCTCTGTACATCAATATTATCTGAAGCCATAACTGTGTGCTTTTAAATCACATTCGTATTCTTCTGACATTGTACTGTGACTAATACCTTGCCTTTGGCATTTCTTTTTCTCTAACTTGGTTGGCTGATTGTATGTTTATGACTAGAGCTCAACTTACTTTCTTCTGTTTACATTCTTGATGGTTGCTAGGTGGATGATTTGTATGGAATATATGCTTAATACAGTTTTTATTTCTGTAGAACAGGGAACTGAACAGTGTCTTGCGTATGTTCATTCAATGCTAGCTATATCCTTCGCCCTATAAAACAGTTAAGGTTGAATCTACTATTGAGAGTTTTGAGCTGAACTGACCAAAAGAGACTGTTCTTCCAGTTTGAAATACCTTATGAAACAATTAAGTTTTTCCCTGTTCTAGTGCATTTTTTCTCTGCCCTTCTGAGTCCCCAGTGGATGTGCCTATACCATCATATAGTTAATTAACAAGGAAGCAGATGGGAAAGGGACTCAGTGCAAGAAATGTGTTCCTCGTGGGCATGCATTCACGTGACGTAAATCCCCAGATTCAAAAATTAAACAAAGACCACACAGAACCAGGGAAAATCTGAATGTGTGATTTATTATATTTAAGATTGGTCTATAAGGCTTAAATATGTTTGTCGGAGTTAACAGCAGATGAGTGCAACTTTACAAAATCAGTATTTCAATACAGAACAGGACTGCACATGGGGTGACTGTGCCCTGGAAAATTAACATTTCCTCAATGCAAATATTCAATCTGCAGCACCAAGTGGAAGCTTCTACCTGGATCATGAGCTGCAGTGTTCCCTGCAAGCTCTTCTCAGAACACAACTCTGTCTAAATCAAGCATTAGAGGAAAAATAGAGGAGTCATTCAGGCTTAATATGTCAGATTTGGTATAGGATTAAAATACTAAGTGTTTTTTATGTCCTGCTTCAAATTAATAAATACAAACACAATATAAAAATATACACCAGTTGCTGAGACTACACCGCACATGCCCAGAAAGTTAAATCTCGCTCTCATATGTATGCAGGTATGTCTTGAGGGTCAGAATTTCTGAATAGCTACGGCTAGTCTTCCGGTAGAAGTCCAAACTGGTGAGATGCTCAATGTCCCGGACCCGAGCTGTGTGCATCTTCATGAGTTCCTCTACCCACTTTGACTCATCCTCTGAACTCTGCAAGGGAAATGAAGCAATTAGATTTTTTCTAGAAGAGATGATCTACATGGTCATTTTCCACTTTTATACAAAGACCCACAGCATGGCGCTCCCACCTGACCTTCCTGTCTCTGCGGAATTCCTGTCAGGAATTCACCACAAATTCCTGCTCTTGGCTTTAAACATTTTCGGCAATAATAAGTTGTGCCAAACAAATGAGAAACATGGTGTGAAGAGGTGTAGTTCTCACTAGGTTCTCAAAACACAAAACAAAATTAGGAAAATCATTGACCCGGTGGAATCTGATCATTTGTGTTTCTTCTCAGCCATCAAACGTAGGGTTGAAATCAGCACACACTTAACCTGGAATGCTCTTCTACCTCATAAAACAAACAGAGAGCTGGTATCTAAGTGTATATAGGAAACTAAGTGTGTATCCCAAGGCTTCTCAGAAGACCCATCATATCCATCAGCCATCTAGTCGATGGCAGTGAATTACTATCTGAGTTCAGCTTGAAACAAGTCAGTTGATATATTTGGTACTTTGGGGCCCAAAAACTCTTAGTTGGAACTGTGGCCCCACCATTTCCTTGCTTCAGTGACTTGGTAAAGCTACTGACTGCCCTAAGCTTCCTAAATTCACAAGTGTATTAATGCTTACTTCACAGACTCGCTGGAAGGTAGAAAAAAAAAATTCAAGGGAGAGGAAGAAAGTAAAGAACAATAAAGAAAGGAAGGGAATCTCCTTTGGCCTCAGCTGCTCATGTGATAGCCTCATTGGCAAAACTCCACGCTAAAACCATGCAGAATGACAGAACAATGTATTCCATGTCTAATTTGAAACTAAAAGATACTTTAGATGAAGCAACCCTCACATCTCAAAAATATTTCAGTTTGGAGGAACCATGTGGGGGAGCGCGACATGCATCCAAGATCCAAGCATCCTATGAAGCCAAAGTCTCTCTTCATTAGTAGCCAGGGGCAGGAAGACCTTCACAAACAACATCACTACCTAATGCCTCTGAACAGATATGTCCTGCGAGAGTCTTTAGAGACGTTTACCGGGTGCTGCACAGCCCAGGGCCAAGAATGTTCAGACATGCCCCCACCTAACTCTTGACCACTAGTGATCTTACTGAACCAGCCACTGAGGCTCATGAACCTGCAAAGGTTTTCTCAGAAAGCTCCAACCCACGCAGACCTGGACCAAGGGTGACAGCAGCTCATGCCAAGTCTAAATATGTACCGTGAGCTTGTTGGTTCAGGAAACCAATGCCTGGCCATTCCAGGCGAAATGTAGAAACGGCTTTGCAGGCAGATGCTAGGATTTGAGCCTTTCATAACCTACCCTCCGGCCTAACCTACCCAATTTAGCTCTACCCACAAGGCTACTGACCAGTCCTCAACACAACCATGTAATTAACAAAGTAGGAGGTCTCCTGATGGGTCAAGACCCCTCAGGGTAAGCATGAGGTTATATTTGGGGAGAATTTTCATAGTTTGCTCTTGTGTTGGATTTCTCAAGGGTCAGTGAGTTCAATGTTTCCTATCAAAGTGCAGTTATGTGAATGTGTGGACAGGGTTGAAAAAGTTTTTCCTAATTCAAAATCACAGCAATCTAGAATGATAAGAATTCAAGTAAGTAGGAAAGACAAAAAACTTTAAAAATAAATAACAGAACATTAATGCAACCAAGACCACAACCGTGATTATTTGTGCACTATGGATATTCATTCTTTCTTAAAGTTCCATTCATTATTTTTACTTTTATGTGTATGAGTGTTTTGCCTGCATGTATGTCTCAGCACCACCGCCTGTCTTCAGTGCCCATGGAAGCCAGGAGAAGTGGCCAAGCTGGGATCCAAACTTACCCATCAACACATTCCTGCCATGACTGGAGGATTTCCAAGAAACTGAGATATACTCCAAATAGCCTACCATATGTATACATGTTTATGTGACCTTTACTTCACCTTTGAATCTCAGAGCAGTTTTGAATTTAATTTTTATGTGTTTAGTTTACCTCTTAAAAGGTTTTTAGTAGCGCTGAGGTTTTCTCAAGGGAAGTACAGTGATGTTACAAGGGGCACCACATTCCTCTGTGAACAACCACGATGAAAACATCAAGCTGGTGAACTGATGGCAGTGTGTCTCTCACTTCCAGATTCCCCACTTCTTCCTCCTTTCCAACCACAAGCAGGGCCCCAGCAATCCTCTGGCTACAATACTTCTGCCTTCCAGCCTCCTTGTCAAGTGTCGAAGACCACACCCCGGGTCTGGTTCTGTGACCTCATTCTTATGAATCTTGCCAATACCTTTTGGAGACCCATTCTCAACCTCCTCTGACTTAAACTCCTTAAAGCAAAACCTAAAATGTTGCCCTTCTGATGAAATATTTTTCTTGCTTATCTGATTGCACAATAAGAAAAACTCCCCAAGTTCTCTACAGATATCTGCTAATTATCTTTGGAATTTAAAGTTCCCTATCCTACCAACTCAGCATCATCTTTTAGTAAATGTAAGTTCCTTAGAAGTTAACACAAAGGCAGGAGAAAGAACAAGAGACCTTATAGGGTGATTAGATGACAGAAACAAATTGTGTAGAAAATCTACACAACACTCGGATTATAACACGTACTCGGTAAATGGTCACAATGACCTCTGTAGCTATTACAACCAGTATTAATACGACTACCACTATAGTTTTAAATTTTTGATAACAAGCAATTTTTAAAAACTTCACCCATCACTTCTTAACCTTTTGGCTACTACCAAGTGTAAAATATTATCTCCCATCAAATCCCATATTTTAGAAAAACGTAGTTAGCTTCTTATTACCATAGTTCACATTTATATTATTTCCTGAAGTCTTTATTTTGCTTTGAACACTCATTGCCTAAATTCTTCATCATAATTGAAGCCTCTGTCCAAGTGCCACACTGCCCATGAAGCATGAAGTTTATGATCTTGATTGGACTAATTGTTATGGTATTTTATTTTATTTCATTTTATTATTTTATTTTATTTTATTTTTGGTGTTTTGAGGCAGGATTTCTCTGTATAACAGCCCTGGCTGTCCTGGAACTTACTTTATAGACCAGGTTGGCCTCGAACTCATAGAGATCTGCCTGTCTCTGTCTCCCAAATGCTGGGATTAAAGGCGTGCATGACTGCTCCCAGCTGGCCTTTTACTTCTTAATGTAGTTATTTCTATTCACATTTTATTTTCAGCCTTATATGGTAGGCTGCCTAGGAGTTCATGGATATGGCTAATGGTGTTTTTTTCTTCTAGAACACTACACAATTTAGGGATTTGAGTGTAACTTGTTGATTAACAATCCCATTCAACAGATTCCATCCCTGCTCCTACTATTAGTGAAATAAAAGCATATTAGCTATTACTTCTAAACAAAAGCTTGCAGGCAAGAGTTTACATCACAATAAATGTATATGAAGAGAAAATAAGATGTGTCCCTGAGTTTTTACTCTGTGTACATAGCATGGCCTGTCTTCCTGCTGAGGGCTTTTCCTTTTTTAAATTTAATACATTTTATTTATTTTATAGTATGAGTAGTTTGTTTGCATGGATGTCTGTGTAACAGGTGTATGCCTGGTGTGTCTACAGAGGCCAGAAGGCCCTGGGATTAAAGTTCCAGGTGGTCGTGAGTCATTACATGGGTGCTGGGAATTGAACTCTAGGCCTCTAGAAGAGCAGCCAATGCTCATAACCGCTGAACCATCTCTCCAGCTTCTGTTAAGGACCTTTTCATTGTATCATTCGGCTTCCTAGCTCTCTCCGTGTGAAAATAAACAATACAAGGACCCTCTGTGCTGTTAAATGACTGTTATACCTTCCCATAACTAGTAACAAAAGATAATGTGTCTGAAGATAAAAACATGGGCACTTCATCATTTGTCAAAATTGAACATATAAATAGAACTGTGTTAAATGTACACATATATGCAGAACACACACACACACACACACTCACACACTAAATGAAAACTATAAAATTATTATTACAGAATTCTAAGTCCCTATATATTCAATAAAGTTCTACTTGGGTTATCTCCCCTTTCCATTTGGTTGGGTGATCCATATGCTTCATTCTGGTTCAATAGTGGGGATACAAGTTAAGAAACAAACTGAATCTGAGAGCACATTCTGCCTCTGAACTCACATTGCAACTCTCGTCATTGTCCGGTCGGTGAGGAAGGATGAACGAGGACACAGAGAGGGGACCATCACACTTGTCTGCAGGCTGCGTGAAGTCCAGGCAGCTGGTGATGATGCTATAGTAGTGAGTTGGGACAGGAATAGAGCTGCCTTCCACATACCTGAGTCAGGAAAGTAAATACAATTACAAGACACATCAAAACTCTCTCTTAAAAATGCTCACCCACGACAACACTCTGCTAGCCTACTTTAGATGTTCTCTCTGCCTGGAATTGTCTCCCTGCCTCGACATGGTGGAAAGAGAAAGATATTCCAAGAACCTAAAGTGGCTGGAGAGAAGAGTTGGAAGCAGTAAATGGTGACTAGAATAATGAAGTAGAGCAAAGAGCTGGAAAAGTCTATAAAAGACAAATCATGATGGTTTGTGGGTGCCAGGATACAGAATTTAGGTGCTATGGTTTAGGCTGCAATACTCCATCGAAGGCTTGGGAGATATGGAGTGCCGATATTAGATTTGTGTTTCAGAAAGATGACTTTCATAGGTATAGAAAATGGTCCAGGGTCACAAGACACTGGCTGTAGAGGAATAGCAGCGCTTTCAGTCTACACTGAGAGCCTGAACTTGGTGCAAAGGAAGCACTAATATCAAGAGTGGGAGACGAGCCTAGTGCTATTTACTCCAGTAGAGCAAAGCGTACATATTTAGATCCCTCACCCAGCTTGCTCTTACAATTTTAAACATTTTCTAAATCTTGGAAGTGAGTGAACTTAATTTTGTTTAAAAGGTATCAAAATGACCAACAATAAGTATGTAATTAAGATGAAATGTCTCTTCTGAATTACTGAAAAAGGAGTAAGTTGATGTCTATCCAATTAATTATCTTTATTTCAAAATAGCATTTTATTTGCTAAGTATCTATATTATTTACACACTCTGTGCTGATTTCTGATTATTTGGGCATGTATAAATGCACTAGACTACATAATCTTATAGGCACAGTGTTTACCTTATTATTTTATATCCCCAGTAGTACCAAGGGGAGAGAGATAACTAGATTCAACCAAAGTCTTTATGCAATTTTCTCATAAGACATACTGACTCAGAATATAGAAAGAATCCCAAACTCTCCAAAAAGAACGGAAATAAACTAAAATCACAATTTTCCACTGAGGAATTGTTAAAGAATAAATGACCATTTCAAAGATATGATTGACGTTATTTTTCTATAACAAAAAAATCGAAATTTTATTCTAACTACTAAAAGCTACATTTAATCAAAGATTGAAAGCAGCTAAAGATTTTCAATAATGAGATTCAAAGAAAAAATGTTTAAGGATATGAACTGTTCTCTAGCATATGAATATCCCTGAGTGACGTCCTAAAATTTAGGCATCTCACACAGAACAGGGGGAAAAAAAACTCACTGTTTGATTTCATCCTCGGTATCACGTAAGCCATCGTAATTATAGTCAAAAATGGGTCCGCTTATTACATTGACCCCATTCCTTTCTGAAGCATATTTCTTCACCAAAACCCTTTGGAAATAAGTCCAGATACCTGTGCAAAGACACAAATCAGTTCTTCGTGCACAAAAACACTTGTTTCAGACAAACTCTCTGTAGGATGCCTTCTTCAAGTGTAGTGTTGGGAGCCAAGAGTTGCTGTGACTTATCAAGACCTGTTTTCAAGTGTTATCTTTGTTTTTCACTATGAACTTGTAAAAGGAGAGATAAGAGAAAGCAGGCAATGCTATGGAGGCAGTAAGCCTGGTCCAGTAGGTCAGAGAAAGTTCCCAGGGGAGGTTGAAGAAACGAGATCTGAAAGCTGAGTGAGTGCGTATGTCCCAGGCAAAGAAGTGGAGGCAGAGCATGCCAGATAGAAAGAGTTACAGTGTTAGCAGAAGAGGAAGTATTTTAGCCATTAGGCAAGTAACTCTTTAGAGGTCAGACAATACAACTTCCCAAGTGCTAGGGCGAGGGAATGTAGCTCAGTTGGCAGAGTGTTTTTCTAGATACACCAAGTCCAGGCTTCACTCTCAGTACTGTATACACTATGTGTGGTAGCAAACGCCTGTGCCCAGCAGCCAGGAGGTAAAGACAGAAGATCGTTCTCAGCTTCACAGCAAGTTCAAAGGCAGCATGGGCTGCTTGGGACACTACCTCAAAAGGGGGTAAGCGTCGGAGGACTATAGGTACATGGTGGGGTGTGTGTCTAATGTGTGTGAGGCTCTGAGTTCAATACCCAGTACTGAAAAAAATGGCATTTTTATGATTACATAGCCAATGGTCACTCTCTAGGGACTAATAGTTGGTTTTGAGGGCCAGAGTTTATGGTGCTTATTCAATTCACAGAATCACTATCATCCACAAATACTTATCTTGTGAACAAATAAATTACACGGTCAAAGAAGCTAAAATAATAATTTGCATGACCCTAAAATCATCTGATTTAGTATTCTGAAATAAACAAGAATATTCATAATCTTCTTCTGGATTTTAGGGTCAACATTCAGGAAACATAAGCACCCTAAAGGAAAAGATTGTTCCTGGCCTTTGCAGACATGTTCAATACATAAATATAGATGCTGTAAAGGGTGCAAGTGAACTCTAAAACTCAGTAACATTCCATCATAAAAATAATAAACATTAAAACAGAAAGAACTGCAGGTTAGAACGTAGTTTAGTTTAGCTCTACCACTCATGACCTGGGTCACTTTTTATGATGTCAATTTCCTAATATAAACAAGGGCTAGATGACTCTCCAGCTCCCCTCCCAGGCAGGTCAATTTATACAAATTTATATGAAAGGTCTTCAAAAGGTATAAAAGCTGAACACTTGCAAGGTATTATTAAAATCAGCATGGAGGTAAAAAAGGTAAGTGGTAAATTTAAAGTATTTATTTTCTAAGTAACAGTTTACTGGGTAAATATTATACTTACGTTTGAAAGCGGGATACATTGGGACCATGTTGGTTACAAGGAATGCATCATATTTAGCTTCTGGGGAAGAGCTCAGATCTAAACATGAGGAGAGCAAACAGAATGCATTGCTTACCAATGTTGACATCATAGAAGAGCAGTCTCCTAGGCCAACCCAAACAGCTCAAAGCCAGAGGATCTGCTTTTATTCCCACTTATCTCCTCCATTAGACACTTCCGGCTTTACTCCCACCCCATTGCTTCACTTCCCTCAACAGCTCTCAGAAAGTATTTACAGCCCTTTTCTTCCTACAGAGTTCTTGAGTCTATAGTTCTCTGATTCCGTTATTATAACTTAGACTCTTAAAAAATGTCATTAAGATAATAAGACATAATTGTTTTTAGGAAATCACCTCTGTGGGACTGAGCCACTAAATAGCCTCCCACCCACGCTCAGGCAAATGACTCTTATTAAACTGTGGGCCACACACAAAAAGAGGACGTGGAAATAGCAGGAGACAGGGGGACAGAGGGCAGTGAGGGGTAAAAATGACAAAAACACATCATCTAAATGTATGGAACTGTCAAACAAAAAACCCTTCTTAAGTAAGAATTAATATCCTCATAACTTACCATTTCTTTCATATTCCCCTTTAACAACGTGAAGGAGAACAAGGTCTCCTCCCTATACTTTAGATTTTTCCAGATCAGGATATTTAAAAGCTGGTCATTTTCAGGCTCAATTTTGGGAGAATTTCACAGTCTCCCGAGTGCTTTCCTATGGACCACTGAAACCCTAACCAGCGAGCTTCCAACTCTGGATTATACTGACACCGACACACTTGGGCACACGTGTGCACACACAGTGATCAGACCCAGACACACTGCAACTCACAAGGAGGAAAAAGGAATCCATACGACATCTGTTTATCATTTTTATAGGCCAAACAGTTCTGACTGAATCCTGGAGACACGCGAACATCAGGGCGAACACAGTTGGTCAGATGCTCCGGAATGCTGGAGACCTCAGCCTGTGTATAGAGTCAGAGACACTCACTGATGCTCTTTCAGAGATGAGACCAATGGCATGAACAAAGCTAGAGTCTTTAATATGAACAGCTCAAACCCAAACTTGAAGGTTTACCCTAGTTCATAATCTGATATTCTAAGTCCATTTCAAAAGTCATTTTTAAAAAATGCAATAAGCCAATAATTCTCAATCTCTTTGTTTTCTGCAGTGGAATCTTTTTATCAAAGTCTGAAGTTGAACAACACATGAAGTGCAAATCCTACTGTTGAAAAGGTCACTGAAGAACTAAAGCCCATCGATAGGCACATATAAAATCCCATATTTCAAGAGGCAGAGTCCAGAAGACTGCTCACAAGTTCATAGCCAGCCAGGTCTGTATAGCAAGTTCCAGATTAGCCAAGGTTATATACCAAGACTCTGTCTCAAAGGCCAAACAACAAAAGCCAATCAAATGCTCTATAAAATAATAGTTCCCTGCTGGGAACACAGCTCAGTCGGTAAAGCACTTGGCTGGCAAACATGTGAGAACCTGAGCTAAATCCTCGGAACCCAAGTAAAAAGTCAGGCACATTGGGCACATTCGCAATCCCAGTTCTGAGGAAGCAGACAGGCTGGTCCCAGCTGGGTTTTGGCCACCCAGCCTAGCCTACTGGGTAAACGCCAAAGTATGAGACTCTGTCTCAAAAAATTGAGGTGGATGGCATCTACACACACACACACACACACACACACACACACACACCTTCAGTTAAAAGTGTATCTCTCTCTCTCTCTCTCTCTCTCTCTCTCTCTCTCTCTCTTTCTCTGTGTGTGTGTGTGTGTGTGTGTGTGTGTGTGTGTACACTTGCATGTATGCACACACAGCAGAAATTAACTAAATTGTTGGGGAAGTAGTATTCTTATCATTTACATTTACAAGTTGAAAATATATTTCTAAGTATATATACTTGATATATCAAATACATAAATATTTCAACTACAAAACAAGTTGTGCTAATTTGTGATCTATGGCTCTGTATCTCCTCCTCATGAAACTGAAACTCCAATTAAAAACTTTTTTATTAAAATACAAACAGGGGCTAAAGAGATCGCTCAGCAGTTTACAGCACTTGGTGCTATTGCAGAGGACTTGGGTTCGGGTCCCATCACCCACATGGTGATTCACAACCACCCATAAATCCAGTTCTAGGAGATTCTATGCCCTCTGACTTCTGAGGCACAGGCTGCACATACATACATCAGGCAAAAACACTCACACATAAACTAAAATAAGAAAATCTAATTGTTTTTTAATTCTTGGCATTACTTGGCATACCTAAAAAGTAAAATGAAATACGAAGAATACACTGACAGTGAAGTCAGGTTGACCATAGCTATATACATACTCTTGCTACTTCTCATTAAAACTGACTGCTAACTGAGAACTGCCCTAAAAATTAATATCTATTAAAACAAGCCAAAAAAAAACCCAGGATGGATAGAGAAAACCAACTCCATAAACTGCTTTTCCACTTACAAGGGCATACCATGGCACATGTGAACACGCATGCATTCATACACAAAAATAAATGTATAATATTACAATAGATGCAGCAGAAGGTTTCTTCAATCACAAAAAAAAATTAAGGTCGAATCTATTCGTCAAAACACTCATTATATCAAATAAAGAGTATAAGCCCCAGTTTTCTCAATAACCTGCTTAGAAATGGTATATGATGTCCAGAGAGGCATAAAGAATATTTCACTATAACCACTTTCAAAATCCATGTGGTATAAGATATCGTATCTAGTCCGATAAAGCACTGCAGGTCGTCCATACAGGAGATGTCTCTCTAAGAAAGAAAGAAAAGAAAAAAAACTGTTTTCAATACATAATAAACCTTACACCAACTGTGAAATATTGGAAGAGAATCATGTTGTCTACAGTTTGCTAGCTTACTTATTAATAAGACAGCGATCAAGTTAGTGTTCCTAACACTTCCGTGGTTTATCCGATCACCTTACCAAGGGTCAAAACAATAATATAAATGCTATAGCTATGAAAATGCTTTTTGAAATTGTCAGATTTAAAGGTCTGTATAAAAAGGAAGCATACAGTAAATTTTGAGATGAGTCAGCTAAACAGAGAGCCAATAATATTGGATTTTATATAATGAAATGATTTGACCCCTGAAGAGGTTTATTGGGTTAGTCAAGGACTCAGTTAAGAAGGCTCTTTCTTACCATTACTTGAGAACTGCAATTGAAATGGACATTATTTCAGCATAAAAAGAGAGTAGTTAGCAGCTTTGTGTTTAGGCATTGACTTAAAGGAACATGTATAGATAACAGAAGCAGGCATTCAAACGGGTCCCTCAAATACAAATGAGACACCCATCTACTACCAAAAAACTCACTTAAGACCCCTGAATGTGGAGTTGGGTTCCTTTAAGGAAGATGATCACTGAAGCCTTATTTACTCTTTGAGGTGAAAGATGAGAATTCAGTACTCAAACCTTTATTCCAACCCATAGAGAAGCCTGGAGCTTGGCTTGTCCACTTGGGATAGTCTAAACGTCCATAAATTCATGGAAACTGGGGTCCCTGCACATCCACATATTTAGAGATCAAAGCTTAGAGATGTCACAGTTCCTAAGTGATTTAGAATGAAACCTGCTTTTACTATAATTTTTATTAAAGAAAATCTGGCAAGCACTTATTAAATTATGTATACATGTTGCTTTAATTAAAGTGCTACCCTTCTATGCAAGTAGTGGAGAAAAAATGTTCACGCAATACTCCGCCAAACCCTCCCAAGTAGAACTGCTGATTTGTGGCAGAGTGGCCAGTGCTCTCACAACACAAGCAACTTCTGGGTAGTCTGGCTTCCTGAGCCTTGCAATAAATGGAGAAGCCTTGCTTAAGCTGCCAAACGTGGGGGTCTACACTTATGAATCAGAATGTACCATAATGTTATTAAATAAATAAAATCTAATAAACAAATTAAAAGCCAGCAAATCCAGCAATAGTACTTGAGGGGGCATAAACCAACCCAGATTTTCCTTTTGAACTCAGACCAAACCTTTTCTAGGTTCAAAATTTCCATAAAGGTTTTTCTTGTTTTCATTTTTGCTGCCTCTGAATTTCCTGGTTTCAGCTGGAAGCAGAAGTATCAAAATTCTTTGAGAAGCTGTTCTCTATCAGTTCAGTCTTAAAGCTTACCAAGTGTTGAGGTTTGAGTAAGAATGGCCTCCATAAGTTCATGTATTTGAATGCTTAGTCACCAAGGAGTGGAACTATTTGAAAGAACTGGAAGGATTGGGAGTTGTGGCTTTGTTGGAGGAAGTGTGTAACCAGGGGTGGGGAGGTGTTGAGGTTTCAGGAAAGCCCATGCCAGGATAAGGTTCTGTCTCTCTCTTTTGTCTCTCTCTATCTCTGTCTCTGTCTGTCTCTCTTAATCTCTCTGTTTCTGTTTCTCAATCTCTGTCTCTCTGTCTCTCTGTCTCAATCTCTCTCTCTGTGTCTCTGTCTCTCTCTCTCTCTCTCTCTATCTATCTATCTATTTATCTATCTATCTATGGATCAAGACAAAGCTCTCAACTGCTTCTCCAGCAAATGTCTCTCATGCCTGCGGCCACATTTCCTGCCATGTTGGTAACTGACTAAGCCTCTGAAACTGTAAGCCAACCCATTTAAATGTTTCTTTTATAATAGTTGCCTTGGTCATAATGTCTCTTCACAGCAAGAAAATAGTGACTAAGAGACCAATGTATTCCTCCAGACTCATATTGAAGCCTGCTCCCTCATCTGTTCCATCAAGAGGCCAGAAAATGAGCATCCATCTGTCCACCTTAGAGCACCCGCCAAACAATAGTATGGATGATCTACAGTCTCTGACTCTTCCTTCCTCCAGACCTCCTCATTTCTTGGCATTTTCCAACATAACTCTTTTCCCCAGGGGCTGGTTTGCTTGTAGCATCCCACTCATGACAATTCTATATGATACATGCAATTTTTTTTTCCTTTCTGTTGGTGATAATATATATTATTCCCCATCATTCTTGTCACTAAGAGTATGTGTTCATGGTGGATGTGTGTGTGTGTACACACTCATGGTGTGGATGTGTGTTTGTTCATGCATGTGGAGGACAGCGGACAACAACAAATGTCTGTTTCTCTCCACTTTAGTTTTGGGTGTAGGGTCACTCACTAAATCTGGATCTCACTGATTTAACTGGAATGGCTGACCAGTGAGCCCTAAGAACCAACCTGTCTCTGCCTCCCCAGTTCTGGAATTGCATGCATGCCCTGCCATGCCCATTTACTACATGGGTGATAGGGATGCAAACTCAGGTCCTCATGCTTTTTTGTGACAGACACATTGCTAATTGAGCTGCCTCCCCAGAGCTGTCCCTCAGCTCCTTGCACATCCCTTCATTGAACATTTACTAAGATCCTTCTTTGTACCAGGCCTTGGGCTGGAAAATGGAGATACTGAACAAAGATGGCTTAGAGCCTTTACCCTCAAAGAGCTCACAGTCGAGTGACAATCCTGCTGTCTATAACCAACATGCAGCATACATAGGCTATACTGTCTCTGGTATCCACATGGGGTGATGGTAACGCAAATGGAACATGTTACAAACAGGCATAAAGTGGCATGAGAAAAGGCCTTTATAGGGTGTAATATTAAACCAGGGTGATCCACATACCGGCTTATATCCACTGTGCTTGCATAATTGTTAACAACAAAAAGTGACTGACAAACAATACAATCCTAGAGTTTAAAAGAAAAAAATGCAAGAGACATGAAAAAGGGGGGGGGGGAGATAAGACACGAGATTGGTAGGACAGCGGAAGGATTCTCCCCAGGAGTCCTCTCCATCTCTATCTGCTCTTCAGCTCAACACACAAAAAATTGAGTTGGCTTCAAAACTCAACTCCACAGCTTCAAGCTATTGACACAGCTGCAACCTTTTGAACACAGCCAGAGCACAAACATATCATTGTCTCATTTGCTTTTTTGTCAATTCTTATCAAACTTAGGAAAAAAAAACCCTCAATGATATCAACAACCTCCTGAAAATCCAAACAAAATCCCCACCCGGCTCTCCAGAAATCTACCCAGCTCTCTTTATGGCTTAATAATTCATGCAAGGAAGAAAAGAAATCATCTTGGTAAGTAAAGTAAGTTTTGAGATTCAGAATCAAGACTTAGGTTTTACTTTTTCATTGTCTGTGAATCACAGGTCCAGTCATGGCCCAGCTGTTAGCCTTGGACATCTTGGACATTGCATTTCTCTTTAGCACACACAATATTTCTCTTTAACAAAATGCTCCTACTCAGACCACAGAATGGACTTGATTCTCAGTCTTCACACATGCTAAAATATGTGTCTCAAGGTCAGCCCACAAGCTCTTTTTCTGCAAAGTATTCTCCTGATTTCATTTCTAATTTTCCCTACTCTGATTTCTAATCTATGTAAGAGTAGTGACATTTTGAATATTTAATTCTAAAAAAATTTAGAAACTTTTCATGGGCAGAATTGTTGTACATATTTATGAGGCCTAGTTCTATTACAAAATTTGTAGTGGTCAGATCAATCAAACAGATAGAGTAATCAGCTTAAATAGGTATGATTGCTTTGTGTTGGGACACTGAAAATTTTCTCTAAGAGTAGTACTGAAATATACAATTGATTAAATGTGGCCAGTAATAGTTGCCTTAATGTCATAGGACTTTTGAAGGACTTCTTCCTGCCCAACAGCACCTTAGTACCCTTTAACTATCTTCTCTCCCATAATTCATACGTGTGTGTGTGTGTGTGTGTGTGTGTGTGTGTGTGTGTGTGTCTAATGTGAGTATGTAAATGCTAATGCTTGTGTGCACATGCATGTGGAGGCCAGGGGTTGATATTAGTTTATCTATCTATCTATCTATCTATCTATCTATCTATCTATCTATCTATCATCTGTCTATCATCTATCATCATCATCTATCTATTTATCATCTATCTATCATCATCTATCTATCATCATCATCTATCTATCATCTATCTATGTATCTATCATCATCATCATCATCTATCATCATCATCATCTATCATCATCTATCTATCTATCTCTATCTCTATCACTCTCCCTCTGTTCTTCGAAACAGGGTCTTTCACAGAACCTGGAGCTCACTGATGAACTAGACTGGCTGGCTAGGAAGGTCTAGAGACACACCTGTCTCCTCCTCCCCATGCTGGGGTTACAGAAGCATGCCAGGCCTGTTTTTTTAACATGGCCGGCTCCTGGGCAGCCAAACTCAGGTCCTCGTGTCTGCACTGCAGGCATTTGACAAGTGAGCCACCTCCCTAGAGCCCTCTTGTGATTTCCTGAGGTGGATCTAGTGTCACCCATGCCCTCCCAGGCTGCGTTCCTACTGCACCGAGTTCCAGACACAGCCTTCCTTCCACACCCAAGCTCCCTGTTTACAGTAGCGTCTCTGGCATTTTAGCGTATGCCAGAGTTCCTCTCCACATACCGCATTTGGCAAAAGACCGTGAGACGATTCTTTTTAAGTGGTGTGGACTTCCCCAGAACTCACTCTTTTTGTCTTCCAAAGTTTAGTCATGCAGACTCAAGTTTGTGTTTCTTCTCCCTCCTCTGCTTCCTGATTCATACTCCAGCAGATGGACTTGGAGCCACATGAAAATCCTTCTCCCTTTCTGTTTTCTTAAACATTCACTCCCACAGTAACATATGCTTAAAATTTACCACAGAATCTCTACCAAAAAAAAGCCTTGCCTTTTCCTGTGTCCTTCCTCTCCTTTGCCTTACAAGCATCTATTGTCATTTATGGCCATCTCGGCCTCCGTGGGAACTGATTCCATGCTTCCAGTCACACTTTTTGCTTTCCAAATCCATCATTAAAGCATTCTGCTGCAAGCTGGGCGGTGGTGGCACAGTCCTTTAATCCCAGCACTCAGGAGGCAGAGGTAGGCATCGCTGTGAGTTCGAGGCCAGCCTGGTCTACAGAGTGAGTTCTAGGACAGCCAGGGCTACAGAGAAACCCTGTGTCAAAAAACCAAAAAAAAAAAAAAAAAAAAAAAAAAAAAACACAAACAAACAAACAAGAAATAATATTTGTAATTCATCCACTTGCTAAACCTTCCAGCAGAACAATCACTTTATGAAGACAGGGGCTAAATCTGTGTTACATAGTCTGTCTCCAACAATACCGATCACATGTCTACATTTGACAGACGAATTTTAAAATGAAGTCTGGGTGTCCACATGCAGCCTGTCTAACAGAATCTTGAGATAGAGTAGGCTCATCAGGGTCACCTCTAGTGATGACATAAATTTACACAAGATAATTCAGATGTATGGCCACGCAAACTCTAGGCCCCAGCATCCAGCTAGTTATTCTCCCTAGTCTTTTGGGCCATCTCCAGTCAGGTGCTATTTGCCCCTTTTTTCTATTGAAGGGTGTATTGGAATGAAGGCACAACTCTTCCTGAGCACAAACTCTGCCTGAGTAGCACCTGCCAAGGTGACATTAGGAATGCGCAGTGAGGACAAGCATTTGCATCAAAGCATCCATCAGCACTTCAGCAACAACTGCAGCCTGAGATAGTGTCTCCTAACAATCCCCAGGAACGTTCTCAGAAAACAACACCCAGACTTGTGTCAAATCGTAGCTCGTAACCCTTGACCTCCCAATGCCTTATCTCACTCAGAAATGCTACATCACTGAGAAGCAAGACTAGAAAATGTTGAGTTCCGTTTTCAACCAAATGAGCCATGGTTGTAGCTATAGCTGGTCAGTAAAGGGTCCATGTTCACCTTCAATAGCAGCAAAGAAGACTGGTAGGTGAAAGTTATTAAAATGTAGTGTCTGTCATCAAGACCTTGAATCCTACTATAAGTCACAAGCGAGTACGGAGCTGGTTACTTTCCACATGCTTTCCATAACACATGCACAGACACGCCTATATTGAGAAAAACAAGTTTGTCACCTCCCTTTTTTAGCACACAACAGTCTTCAAAAAACAATCCAACAGAAACGGGAAGCATTTCAGGATTCGAAAAGGCCCTGGAGATCTCTCAAGAATAGTCAGGATTCTTCTACCCAGTCAGCAAAAGTTATTGTCTTTTTTTTATATGTATAAATTAACCTCATATGGTGTGTAAAGTGCCAAACATACATAGGCATTAAAATGGCTTGAGTTCCTTTTCAGACAAAGGTGACAGCGTACACTTGCTTAAGAAAATGCCAAGGGTTCTGGAGCCATGGAGAAAAGAGTAAGGCGAAAGTGACTGCTGTAGTTCTTCCTCTTCTGGCTATCATGCCAGAGTTGCTTATGAAGAGAGTCTACATTTCCCATGCCATCCATCCCTGCATCCGCTGACTCAGCGTCACAAGGAAATGAGTTCTGATTGCCCAGCAAATCTGCCACTGTACCAGCGGTTTGCGACTGGGAAACAACAGCCGTTACGCAACACAGAGTCAGAACTTGCCTCCTACCTAGAAATGCTAGGACTTCAGCAAGCCAGTTTTGAAGACTATAGTGTTCTTTCCAAAGGCCTTGATTGTCTAGCAATCTAAACATTGATAGCAAAGCATCACCTCAGACTAATTTAGTACTTTTTTACCTCAAATAGACTCCAGGCGGTTTCGCGACTGGAATATGCAGCTTTTACATGTGCTCTACATGGACATCTGACTTATTTCATAGGGTACAACATGAAAACAGCAACACAGAAATGTTGCAGTGTTCGACATGACTCATTCTATAAACTATCAGCTATCTGCATCTCTATTAAACTAAAAAACAAAACCAGAAATATCTTACATTTGCATATGAAATATTAGATTTATAAACTACTCTATAAGGCTCGATACATATCTGAAGTCAGAAAGTCAAAGTAGTTATTCTGAATATAATACATGTGCAGGCATGAGTATGCACACACACACACAAGTGATTCGTATTCACAAGGTTCTACTATAGCAGACACTAAATATGTTGAATGGGAACCCAGATGTTTGATGTATGAGACACTCAAACACAGAAGAGGCCCCCTTGGTGTTGTAGAAAGGAATGAGACAGAGCTAAGAAAGTGATGGAGATGGAATTCAGGGGACGTAGAAGAGGGAACCCTGAGATTTACACCAATTCCAGAATCTAGCCCAAGAAATGGTTTTCACATAATGCAACGATGCTAGACAGCTGGTTTTATTTCAGGTCTCTCCTATCCTTAAAGGTTGGTTCCCATAGGCCACGACCAGACCAAATGCACAAGCTACTGCCGTGAATTGAGACTTACACGTCCCCCACAGGCTGCAGTTTGAATGCTTTCCCCAGCTAGCAGTGCTGTATGAGAAGATAAGAAACCTGAAGAGGGGTGCACCTGGCTGGCAGAAGTAAGTTACTAGGGGCAGGCCTTTAAAGGTGATAGCTAGGGCCCTGCTTCAAGTCTCACTCAAGGCTTCCTGTCTGCCACACACTCCAGTCACTACCGTGAACCGAGCTGTTCTGCCATGTCTTCTCCCTCATGATAGACTGAAATCTATCTGGAATTACTTTCATGCCTCAGATTGGATCTGACAGGCATTCTTCACAGTGATGCAAAAGGAACTAATCCAGCTGTCATGATTTTCCCCTAACATTTGATGCCGTTCTTTTACAGCAAAGGGTTAAAAACTGTCAGTGGCTGGGCGGTGGTGGCGCATGCCTTTAATCCCAGCATTCGGGAGGCAGAGCCAGGCGGATCTCTGTGAGTTCGAGGCCAGCCTGGTCTCCAAAGCGAGTTCCAGGAAAGGCGCAAAGCTACAGAGAAACCCTGTCTCGAAAAAAAAAAAAAAAAAAAAACTGTCAGTGATGTTGTTCTTTCAGACAAGCCAGAGTCAACCCCAGCTACGGGCCCAACAAACACCGAGTGAGGACATGTGGTTCCCCCCATAAAAGCATCTAGACTTCACATGGGTCTGTGCTAGGTCTACACATGCTGTGGTTGTTTAGCTTGGGGTTTCTGTGGGACTCCTAACAGTGAGAGTGGGTGTCTCTGACTCTTTTGCCTTTGCTCAGGACCCTTTTCCTCCTACTAGGCTGCCTCATCTAGCCTTGATATGAGGGTTTGCGCCTAGTCTTACAACATCTTGTTATGCCATGTTGAGTTGATATCAGTGGGAGGCCTGCTCTTTTCTGAAAAGAAATGGAGGAGCAGTGGATCTGGAGAAGGGAGGTGGGGGAGAGCCTGGGAGGAGTGGAGGAAGGGGAGGCTGTGGTTGGGGTGCGTTTGGGGTGCTAAATAGATAAATCTGACCCTTCAGTGATGCGTGTAAGACACTTACGGTCAACTCTGAGCAAAGCTGTGCAGAAGAAATGTCACTAACAACAGCTCCTTCTAGCCCTGGCAGCCACACGTTCACCAGCACAAGGCCTCTTACTGTCATGCTTGGAAGTAGGGCTAGGTTAAGGGAGTGATTTCATCATGTGAACACAATGCCGTCTCACCAACAGACTAGACGCAGAAATTGTCCGTCAGGTGGAAACACCTGGAGTTTACATCAGCACCAGCACAAGAGTCCACTGAGCGCTGTCAGAATGCACAAACCAGCAGTCTTTTGGAAGGAGCATCTTGGTGCTGCTTCTTGGGTAACTGACTATTTGGAAATCATGACACTCCCTACCCCATCCGCCTGGCAACTTGCAATCTTTGTTGTTGCTGTTGTTTGTGTATAATGACACTACCGTACACTAAGAGTTAAGTGCCAAGCTTTCAAGTCATTTGTAGAGTTTGTGGGGGATACGCAAAGCTTCCACAGGCAAAGTCCCTCCTGGAATACTGTGCTATCCAACTACATGCCAGAAAGCCTGTGTGTTCTGTGATCCAAGGGTAAAGAGGGAGGGTGGTGGTGCAGAAAAGGAAGAAAGATGAAGATCTTTTATAGAAAGGAAGCAAGGCAAGTAAATGAAACCCGTTGCGGCCTTCCTCAACCTCTGCTTGTTCCAATGAGAAACCATACGGTAAACAGGACCACAAGGATACTGATGGCTCAAGGGATGGAGAATCTATGTGCATCATTAGCACTAGATGTATGGCTGCCATGGTGCTCTATCTGCTTCTTCGACCCCGCCCCTTTTGTCTCGGAAAGTCATCCCACCTTCAGAGCAGCCCCCTACTCTCTCTTCTAATTTTCCAGAACTTCAAAATCAAGAGGAAGAGCTAGGTATGGTAGCACACACCTTTAATCCCAGCACTCGGGAGGCAGAGACAGGCAGATCTCTGAAAATGGGAAGCCAGCCTGGTCCACATAGGGAGTTCCAGGATAGCCAGAGCTACACAGTGAGACCCTGTCTCAAAAAAACGAAACAAACAAAATAAATCAAAAGGAAGAATTTGCCTGTTAGACTGTCTCATTGTTCCTAGTGACTTTCTGTCCTAACCTGCAGCCGTGTCCCTTGCAGAATAGCCCCAGTAGAAAGAACTTCCTCTGCACCATTGACAACAGGAGTCTCCCTTGTGCTGGTGAACTGGGAGTAGGAGGGACGTCACTTGATAAAAGCGGAAGTGCTGATATCGAGTTCACAGGTCTGTGTGCTGCCGTGAGCATGGCACATCCCTCACTGGGGCAATGCTTTCAGCCCAGATTCCACAGGCAGTGTAGGGGAGTCCACTTAGCCTACATTCAGCACACTACAATGTGAACAAGACACGCGTCCTCCTTCCTTGGCAGGAACCACTGGGACGCTTGTCTACTCTTTCTGTTTGTCTTGTGTTTAGTTTTCGACACATCACACGCTTCCAGAAGTTTACTATCACATGCTTGCTACTGTCATATATAAGATAAGAGGAGAATGGGTCTGGGTGGAGATAATCCTGGGTGTGATGAAGGAAATCTCATTTATTCTAGGAACCTTTCTCCATTACAACTTACCTGCCGATCCTTCAGGCAGTTGAGCTTTAAGCACCAGGAGCTGATATTCATCACTATGACTAACATTCCCAATACAGAAGCTCCCATTAGCAGCTTCATTTGGGACCCATCAGATACCCAGTAGATGTCTTCCTTTTTTTTTTAGAGTTTAAAAACTATTAGAAGAAATCAAAAAGCTAATAGAATTTCCCCCACTAGACAGCTGGTACCTTGTGTTCATAGATATAAAAAAAGTTTGCAATACAAATAGAACTTTTTAAAAATATTATTCTGGTCCTATAGAAAATAGGATGTCTTTGATGTTTTTTGGTTGGTTGGTTGGTTGGTTAGTTGGTTGGTTTGGTTGGTTGGTTTTATATGTATGAGTGGTTTGCCTGCATGTATGTCCTTCAACCACGTGTGTGCATGGTGACCTCAGAGGCCAGAAGAGGACATTGGATCCCCTGGAACTGGAATTACAGCTGGTTGTGAGTTGCCATGTGGGTGCTAGGGATCGAACCCAGGTCTTCTGGAAGAACAGCAAGCTATCTCTCCAGCTCCAGTCTTCAATATTTAAAAACTAGAAGTCAAAACTTACTTTGTTGGTTTTGAACCTGCCCTTACCTTCTGTGGACCCTTTGGTGTGCAGACGTTTATTGAGCTCTTCCAATTTGTTCTTCACATGTAAAAACCAGAAAAGGAAAGAGGAAGGCACATCAGAGGTATTCTTTCTTTCTCCTTTACCCTTCTTTCTGCTTAGCATCTTTCTAAGTTCCAAGTTTTGTCACTGTGGTAAATTCTCCTGGGTGGACTGTTTTATCCCCCATTTGCATTCTAAGCTGGATCCCTGTGTCTGTGAGCACCTTTGTTAATCTCTCTGTGACTCAGTTCCCCTTCCCTTCACGCTGTGTGCAACCACAGTAGCTTCCCAGGCTGGTAAGGGTGGTTATTTGGGCACATACATGTAAAGTAGTTACACTAGTGCTTCCTATCTCAGATTAACTCCTGTCTACACTAAAACGATCCACCAATCCAATGTATAAAATTGCTTTTTTCAAATCCAAATAGCAGTGACTCAACACTTCTGGAGAGTAATGACAGAGCAACTCTGGAAAGTCAGTGCTCAGAATTTGTACCCATCACCTACCCCTGAGACCCTCGAGCAATAACTATACAACCCCATTTACAATAGCGTCCTTTGAATAACTGTAAAGCTGATATTTGAAAATTACCAAATGTTCTTAGACAGGAAACTTAATAAAAACGGCATGATCTATTTATATGTCAAATGTAACTAATTAACATGAAAAATAAGTGAGTTAAATGTTCATATACAAATCCACATAGATGTATCCCAGAAATAATGATGAGTCAATCACAGGATTCAAAGGCTACAACAGCAGCCGCATAAAAATTTCCCATATGCAAAAGTATACCATAGATTATTTTGAGACATGCTAAGATACTTCGTGTACTATTTAAGAGCTATATAACAGCAAAGTAAAAGTACAGAGTCAAGAATTACACATGACTTTCAGGGTCCCAATTAATACTGTGCTGGAAAAGAAAGGAAGGAAGGAAGAAAGGAAGAAAGAAAGAAAGAAAGAAAGAAAGAAAGAAAGAAAGAAAGAAAGAAAGAAAGAAAGAAAGAAAGGAAGGAAGGAAGGAAGGAAGGAAGGAAGGAAGGAAGAAAGGAAGAAAGGAAGGAAGGAAGGAAGGAAGGAAGGAAGGAAGAGAAAGAAAGAGGGGAGAGAGAGAGAAAGGGAGGGAGGGAGAAAGAGAGGGAGGGAAGATAGATATTTTGAGAAATACTTTAAATAAAGACAATGCAAACTTTTTGGAATAGAGTTTATGTCTTATAGTCTAAAGGCTTCCTTACTAGAGGTCATTCAGAGAACAAATGTAACTATAGAGTCCTCTGAACTTATATTTGTGAGCCCCTTGATAAGTTGATTCCTACTGATTTTGGCAGCCTCACACCTCCAGCTTCTGAACAATGCCTCCTCTTCACTCAATAGCCTCCCTGAGTCTAATCAAGAGCAAAGGTAGGAAGGGGGTAAAGGGATGGGGAGGAAGGACAAAAGGCTTTGTAGGCTTTTGTAGGCTTATTCTAGAGCCTACAAAATGTGGCTCCTGTGCCCATAGGAGTCCTGGGAGGGGACAAATGGTAAGGGAAAGAGATTGTACAATAGGAGAATTACTGCCCATTTTTCTGAGACTAATAAAAAAAAACTCACACTTTGACCTATAGTTAAACAGCATATGAAAATGAATTAACATTCTTGCTTGGTGCAAGCATCTTCTCAAGTCAGTGTGGAAGCATTGGTTCATGTCTGCTAATAGAAACACTGGTGGGGATGCTCTCCCTCCTCGGCCCTGCTGCCTACTGCAGATAAGGGAGCTGACCCTCCCCCTTACCATCTGTGGCATGCAGGAAAAGTGGGCCTTGCTTCTTGCCTAGAAAGCACAATAGAGCTGACCCTGTTGACGGGAGGGGGGACAGGGCAACAGGGGGGCAGGGGTCCTAAGAATGTGACTGTGGGAGATCTGGCCCCACCTCTCCTTTGATGGCCTGGGCCAGGGAGAGATGCCACCTCTTAGCCACCTGTGGCAGGTGGAAGAGCTGGCCCAGAGGTCACAGGAGCAAAGAGGGAGACCTGCCCCTCGCCAGCTGCAGCACTCAGGAGAGTGGCCCCTGCACCTCATCTGAGCAAAGCAATAGAGCTGGTCCTGATGGTGTAGGCGAGGGAGAGCCAACCCTGGGACATAAAAACAGAACAGGTCCCGCCCCTTGCTCATCTCTGCAAGGGGTGAACTAGCTGAGGCAATGCCAGAGAGCTCACATGAGAGCTGGTCGTGAGAATGGGGAAGATTTGGCAGGCTGACCAATCCTGCAATTACTCAGATCCAGAACTAGGGTTATGAGTTGGCCCACCCTAACATCCACCCCATCTATGATCTGCTGAAGCACATAAAGGGGCCGGTCCTGAAGACCCTAAGCTGCGGGATCTCCATGACACAGGGCAACAGCAGGATATCCGAGAGGAGTCCCAGTGAGGGCCCAGCACTGATAGTGTAGCAGAAACCAGAGACCTCGAACCAGACCAATGACTCTGCAGTGAACAATTGCTCGTAAAAATATTTGGATAAAAGCGTTCACTGTATGACTCACTGTGTCACACTGTAACTTCCAGAAGAAGATCTTTCTTTCTTTTTTTTTTCTTTTTTCTCTTAAATTGTATTTTATTTTGTTGGAAGGGGGTGTTGCTAAGGTAGAGGGCAGATACAAAGGGTTAGGGAAGTGAATAGGATGGAGATGCATGATGTAGAAGACACAAAGAATAAGTGAAAAGAAAGTTAAACAAAGAAAAAAGAAGAAGCATTGGTTGGTAGCTATAAACATCTTAACCAACTTAAAGTTTCAATGAGCAAATTACTGCTTAATACTTTGGAGGTTTGTTTTTTTTTTGGGGGGGGGGCGTGTTTTTTGGTATATAAAAACTGCCCCAATGAAGTATGGTGGGTGGTTTCAACACCCCCTCATTCATGTTGTACCTTCCCCACCCTGCTCTGTGTCCCTCAGGGTGAGTTCTAGGGGCTTCATTAAAAAAGTGAATTTGCTCTTCGGCTCACAATTAGGCTCTAGCATGGAAGACAACTGTAGTAGAGTAGAGGCCATAGTGACTAGGGTGTTACGCTACCAGGTCACAGGCCACAGGGTTTGGGCTGCAGAATCCTAACAGACACAATTCTCTCTCTTTTCTCCCTCCCACCCTCCCTTCCTCTCTCCCTCCCCCTCTCCTGCCAGTCTCTGTAGTAATTTCCTATCTGGCCTCATCTTCCCAGCCTTGGAAGGTATTCTGCTAGCTCCAGAATATTTCCCATTGCCCAGGTTTTGCAAACAGTTCTCTCAAATCCCTTAAAATCTCAAATGTCTTTCAAAACCATTTGGTCTAGCTACCCGTTACCTATGAGAGCCGGGAATCAATGGTAACACACAGCTGCATAGAAGAGCCAACTTCTGACTGCAGAGTGTGAATCCAGAGAGTAACATTGTTACCCTTCATCTTCCAGACCCTCACTGTCTAAGGTGGTAGCTGCGAGCCACATTCAGCTTTTAATCATACTTAAATTTAAAATAATGAAATTAAAATTTTCAGCCCTTCATCATAACAAGTCACTGGCTCCATTCTGTATAGCAGAGATGATAATCAATGCGATTATCACAGAAAGAGCTACTGCACAGTGCTTTATACACCAAACAAACATCTCCGTGGGAAAGCATAAAGATCATTTCTACCTTTGGCTCTACCTTATCATCACAGGTGCAGCCCAGGTCAAAATCAGACTGGAGGTACATAATCCCTGGGTAATTAGGTCTGGTGACTTCCTCTGGTACTGTTGGCCTAAAGGTATTGGTCCGCAGTAGGTGATTCAAACTTCCATGTGTCCCATTGTTAGGAGCTGGTTTCAATCCTAGGAGATCTGATGAAAAGAAAGAAAGGGATGCAGGTATTCTCAGATGAGCTATAGTAAGAGTCAAAAGCTTCCACCTTCCAGGAGTCTATAAATATTGAACACAAATCACAAATTGGACTAAGTTACCATTTCTGCCACTCCTTTGCCATCTTCTGAATCTTTCTGATCATACAATGCCTTGCTAACACTTCTTGAAATAGCCCTGTTCATTGCTAGAGCATGAATACAGACATTCCCCAAAATCCCTGAGTGGAGAAATAGTTTACTCAGTCATTGCCCGTGTGTGTAACAATGTTGGTACCGTCACCCTCCTGCACGTCTCTGGATTTTTTAAATCCAAATTTTGAAATAAGACATAATCAATAAATACCCACAGCCTGCCCTCTAATGCACTCCACAAAAGTGTGGGGACAAGAGCAGGCTTTGGCCATGTGCCTTAAAGGGCTACCCAGGGATGAACGGGCTGATTTCACAGCAAGTGAATGGTTGCCAAGTGGGCATACAGGGACTTGCCTAAGCTGAGAGGCAGGACAGTGGAGAGCTAGCAGCCAACCTCGGAGAAGAACCCAGGAGACCCGACTTTCAGACTCCCCCTCTAACCACCAGACTGGCACTCCCTTACTAAATAGGAAAAGCTGTCCTCACTCAGCAATGAGAAGCTCAAGGAAGAAAAATAATTAGAAGCACATAAATAGCTGGCCGGGGTTCAAGCTGGCAAACTTCTCACTGGACTGCAGTGAGAGAGAGGGAGGTGGGAGAAGGCTCTGTCTGCATGGAACTCTTGCTTCATCGGGTCTCTGACCAAGGGTGTCAAACTGTAATGCTGTGTTGGATCAGCCAAAGGCTGCCAACAGCAACACTATGAAAACTCCCCATTAGTCAACTGTTGAAGGGACACAAAGAAGCCTTAGAAGGGGGTGACATTCTGTCCTTTGAACCAATGGGCAAGTTACAATTTTTTTTTTCAGAGAGAGAAGGTCTTAGGAAATAGACACCTCATTTCTTCTTCTAGCAGTAAGGAAATTCACTGACCAAAGATTGCTTCATCGAGTTTGATTGAACGAGTGACTTACCACACATAACATTGTAAAGCTCGATGTTTTCAAATGGAGGCACTTTAGTCCTGTACTTAAAAGTTGGGCCGTAACCTACAAAAACAGTCTTCCAAAAGAAAGGAAAAGAAACACAGTTAACCATCCCTGCTTCCACTAGCAAGATTTCTTCTCTGTCTGAATTCCCAGAAGCTTCACTCGTCCCGTGATGCCTCTTCCCTGCTGAGAACTCAGTTTCAATTCAGTTTTGTGGTCATACCTGCATGCTGTTGACCTTGTTATCAAAGCCGTGGTCACCCTGGAAGAAGCATTTTCCCGATGGCTTCTTATAAACGTCCAAAGGTTTCCTACATTGAAACAATTTTATGGTCAGTTAGGATTCTGCCCCAAATCATGCTGATAGAAAGCAAATTTGGGGTACACAGAATCCCTGAAAAGGACTGTCTGAAGCCCAGTTGTCTCTGTCTTAATTGCATCACTCCCACGGCAATGACGAGGTACTTCTGTTCATCTCTCTAGTGTTATTGCCTTGCATATCGCCCCGGGTTAAAGGGGAAAGTTTGAAAAGAAGTTGATGTACTCTCTGTGCCTCCTACTTGGACTGATCAGCTCTCCCTGCCATGTGCTCACCAGGCTCAGTCAGTCCCAAGACACAGAAGGCATTTTCAAATACGTGATGTTGAATCAATTCGTGGAGATCTGCATTCTATAAAAATATTTGTATGCAAACTTACCTAGCAGGATAATAAGACCAGAGTCCATGAAAGTGGTCAATTTAACACTAACCATGGCATGGCTAACAAAAACCTGGCCTCACCTAGAAAATGTATTTAGAAGTAGGGAATGAAAATATGCAGGTAAGACATCACAACAACCTAATTTTACCTCTTGTGACAGAAAGACCCCTTTTACGTAAGTGTTTTCTGGCCTCTTCTACCACCCAAAATGTTGATGCTTAATAATGTAAGTATTGCCTGAGTACAGGCAGGGCACATATCAGTGAAGAATAGTGCTTGGGAAAACAAAGGAATCTAACAAATGGATTTCCACCCTAGAGGAACTTGGATTTAGGATAGTAATACCTATGTATAAGAACTCAAGTTCAAGAGTGAACTTCAAAAGATTAGCACCTGCCTTTGCTCTTCACTAACTTGCTCAGCCAGTGTCATCTTTAACTTAACTTCTGTTCCAAGACACAGTTTCATATAAACTAGACAACCCTCCAAGTTCCTTCTCTCCCTAGGTGCCCCTAACATTAAAGGTTCTGCAGAGGACATAGTCCACCAAGACATTTTGGCCACATCTCTGTAACATGTCTACATGAATTCCTGTCTGTTCTGCATGGTTTCAATGATTTCTGGGTTTCATATCTCTCTTTGCATAATCCCATGTGTTTAACTATTTGGTCTTTAATAGTTATAGTAGATTACATGCCATGTCTGTTTAAGTGTTTCATATTGAGACAGTTCCTAGACCAGTGTTTTTCGTAATCATCTCGTGCTTAGCCATTAACTATTATAAACTACTGCCTAGCTTGAGTATACATCATAGTTGTTCAATTAGTACTACGAGCATATTCATCACACTTGTCTTAAAGTCAAAGTTGAAGCAAGGATGAGTGAGAAAACACTACTTCTAGGTCTCCATAAAAATGACAAAATCTGTGGTGATTGACTCTTTAGAAGTGGCAGAACCCCCAGACATGCTCTACAGCAGATTCCAAAGCAAAGGGTGGTCTCCTTGATCTGGGACAGACTTTTGTAGTTCAGAAGAAGGCAAACATTGGTTGTGTTTTAAGCAATGTAAAACATGTCCACAGCAACAGAGGTTTGAAGATTAACATTTCCAGGGACCTTCTACCAACACAGCTACAGGCAATCATGTCAACCAAGACCACATCAGCAAGGCCTTAGTTGTGCTCCAAGTTGTTCAAGGGATAAAAAAATCTAGAATGTCTCCATAAAACTTGTACACAGAGATGCATGAGAAACTAAAATAAGACACAGGAACTAGAGATGGGTTATTTCTATTCTCCTCGATTATCTACTACACAAAACATTCCAAACAATTATTTCCAGCCCAGATGTTTTTTAACGATGACCAAGAACCTTAAAGGATTTCCAGGTGACAGCAAAGTGCTGGTAAAGACAGAGACAGGCTCCCCACGTTACCTTGCAACGTGCCATCTGCGATCCACCAGTAAATGGATATCCTCGATTCTCCTGTTGTTGGCATAGTGCAAACGTTTGGGAAGGTGCTGTTTCATGTAAGGCTTAAAGTGCTGATCTGGTTTTTTACACTGAAATATAAGTGAATATTGGTCTTACAGAGGGATGTTTTCTACCGGAAAAAAAAAAAAAAAAAAAAAGACCTAGACTGTCTGTCTCTTGAAAGTTGAAGGCAGTGTTAGCCCAACAAAAAGATGGTTAGTAAATAAATGAATTTGCTATCCCCTATTAAATAATGCATGCTAAAAGCAAATCGGTTCCAAGGGAGTTAGACAGCTTTAGAAAGAAGTCATAGGTTATCAGAGCATATGAGGACTTTTTAAGATAAATTCCTGACTCGTGAGCCCAACTGAGGGCAGTTCAAAACTCAAGGTCTTTCCCAACTGCCTCAAGTGGAGGAGTGGGAGGTGGGCTGGGAGGAGAGCGGGAGACATGTGCAGGCCTATCTGATGATATGCTCAAGTGCTTTGAACTTTCTATCTGTGGGAAGAGGGGATAGAAGATGCGAACAGATCTGTTCCAGAGTGAGTAAAGATCTGATTCATCGTGAGCAAATACTTCTCAGCTTAATAGGAAGAACAAAGCCTCAGTTTGTATCATCGCCAAGACCATTGGGGAGTCTACAGCTGACCACAGGCCAGAAGTTTTGAAAGCTTAGAGGAAACAAACACACAGGACTGCAGGTCAGTGAGGAAAATGTTCCTACCCACCCACGGGGAAGGCAAACATGGGAAGGTGAGCATGTCGAAGCTGCTCCAAGGCCAGCGGCCTAGTGGCTTGCAACACTTACCGTGAGATTAGCAATAATGGCTTTAGGGTCATCTGTGCAGAGAAAGGGAGAAAGATTTCAAAACATAACCACAAAGAGAGGTGATTTCTACAGAAAGAGACTTAATGCTTCCACCCCATTCCATGCCCTTTGGAACGGATGCGTAACTAAGTATAGGTGTTTAATATTTCAGGAACAGAGAGACCACTAGACAAGTGGCACAAATCCTGTAGCAATCTGCACTGCAAGATGCAGGGCTCCTCGTCTAAAAGGGAAGTCCTCCTCCCGTGGCAAAAGAGTGCCGCTGGGTAACTTGCTTCATGCTTTCCCAACAGATCCCCGGGGAGCACCCACTTGTGTTCATTTGCAGTTTCATGTCAGAAACTGAGCAGGTCATGTTTAGGGGGTCTTTTCTCATCATTTCCTGTTTCTCTACAACACTGCACGATCTTGGCGCTTTCCCATGCAGCAAGTGAGTAGTTTCTGTGGTGGTATCATAGGTCTAACGACACAGGTGAGCCCCCCTTTCCAGCTGCAGGCTTACATGTGTGTGCTGCCTTGGTTTTTATGACCAGGAGACAAAGACTATTTCAGCCTACACTCAAAGTAGCTTCAAGAGCAACTATGTAAATGAGGGGTGTGTGCATACTGGATCTCATTGTCAGGGTGCCCCTCTGTGGGGATGGTGCGGAAAAAGAGATTGTAGGTTCTTTGGGTTTTGTTTTGTTTTCAAAAAAAAAAAAAAAAAAAAAAGTTTGCCTCAGTATGTCATTATAGAATCAGGAGAAGAGGAAAAGCGGTACTCAGAAGAGACCTGGCTTTCCCAAGGCAGCCCTCCCAGGGACAGCAACATCAGCAGAGCTAGCCTTGTGTGCATCACTCACTGTTGCAATCCTCAGGGCTTGGTGCTTAGTAAGCACTCAATAAACAATAAAACATTTATTGGTATTTGTGGAAACTGTGGGTTCCCTTAAAGTATACACATGCACACACTAAATCCTATCTTTAGAAACTTAGTCCTAAAGCTCTGAAATCCAAAGGTAAAAATGTCCATTTCATTCTGCGTAAGTTTTAATAGCTGCATGTAATGGAAAGTGAGCAAGTGGTCATGGCAATAATAACTGAGTCCATGCCGTGCACCCGTTTCTCTCTAAGAGCTCTGGAGGCACTTTCTCTCTGGTCATTCATAAGGATACCAGAATACAGGGCCAATCAGAGCCCTCACTCAGCCAAGTGGTTTTGGAAGGTGAAGGAGCTTGCACACTGGAGCCCCACTAAGCCAGCCATGCTCTGAACTTCTGCACTCTTTGGCCTTGTGAATCATAGTCTTTATGGGGACTAAACAGAAGAAATGCATGTCCTTTGATAGGTTAGAGCATTGGTTCTCAACCTTCCTAATGCTGCAGTCCTTTAATATAGCTCCTCATGTTGAGGTGACCCACAATCATAAAATTATTTTTGTTGCTACGTCATAACTGTAATTTTTCTACTGTTATGAATTGTAATGTAAATATTTCTAGAGACAGAGGTTTGATCAACAGGTTGAGAACTGCTGGTTTGGAGAAATCAAAAACATGGGACAATCTCATTCTCAGACACATCCTAGACAATTCTTAGGTAAAACCAAAGGCATCTGCTTAAGACACCAGTCCTTCAGTCTAAATTCATCATCATTTCATGCTACTCAGCCCGTTTTGAATGAGGAAAGGGTGGTGATTAAGAATCAGCAAATTTGGGCCGGGCGGTGGTGGCGCACGCCTTTAATCCCAGCACTCGGGAGGCAGAGCCAGGCGGATCTCTGTGAGTTCGAGGCCAGCCTGGGCTACCAAGTGAGTTCCAGGACAGGCGCAAAGCTACACAGAGAAACCCTGTCTCGAAAAACCAAAAAAAAAAAAAGAATCAGCAAATTTACTGACTGGCCGGATGGGTCAACCTCAGCTTCATTCCCAGGGCCAACATGCTGGACAGAAAAAACTAATTCCCACAAGTTGTCCTCTGACATCCACACATATGCAATGGCACATGGCATTGTTGTACATCTATGCGTGCATGCATACATACATACATACGTACACATGAACATAATAAATAAATTTAATTAAATTTTTAAAATAATCAGAAAATCAGGGTTCTAACCCTAGCTCTACCATTTACTGTCATCCTCGGAGCCAGCTCCTTCAACCCCCTCTCTGCCCTTGATTTCCACTGTCCATAAATACAATGGCAGTATATATCATGCAAGGATACTGAAGGGACTTACTAAGAATGTGTTGATACTCATCTGAAACAATAAGAAAGCCAAGACCTCGTCTTTGTACTTAACATAGAGCTTTGACTACGGATTAAATACAATGTAATTACGTTTACACAATCTCTCGTTCAGTCATCCCACAATCCTTACTCTACGCATGAGGAAGATGAGGCACAGTGTGTTGAAGAGGCTTGTCCAGGGTCTCAAGGAGAACCTGGAAGAGCTGCAGAGTGAACAACAGCAAAAGACCACCACTGTGCTCTTCACCGCCAACCTCACCGTCTCTCCCAAAACGAATGGAGAGCACAAATATTTCATTAGTAGTAATACAGTTCCACAGGTCCCCAACAAAGCTGCTCATCTGCTCAGTCTTCCCATTACATTTACCAATGTCAGAAATACTTTTTGAAATAAAGAAATAAGCAAATTCTTACATACACCTTCAAACACAAGTGCTGAAATAAAGAGGTATCCTTTAGGAAGGCTCGCATCCAGTCCAAGAGACCAAAGATGCTGAGGCCACAAAGGACAGAAAAGGACATGGAAAAAAGTAAGAAACACCAATATTTTGTTGATTTCACAACGTTGACCCTGGAATACGTCCCATTTGTGTTGACTTAGGAACATAACTTAGGAAAAATTTGGGTTTCCAAAGCTTTGAGCTTAGTGTCAATGGTTTATTATTCTGAAGGTTCTATTCAAAGGTAGCATGTCTGAAGTAAAACTATATATATTTAGAAACATACAATAGATGCTCATAGGAAAATGCCCTTATGTGACATAATGCCATGTACAATTAATATACACAATGAAAAAAATTTAAAGAATTAAAAAGAGGATCCATGTGGTTTTCAAAATCTAGACAGCAGCAAAACAAAGTAAAAGTTTGTGTTAGTGGCATATCACATATCACACCCTCAGCATGCTAAATAAGTTAAAAATCTCATAATTCTTTCAGGGTTTCTTTTTTCAATTTCTAATTTTTCAGAATAGTTCACAATCTCTAAGAATGTAGTATTTTTCCTCTCATGAATTCTGTACATCACTTTGACAAAAGGAAAGAGCCAGGAGGTACTGGGGAACTTTGAGGGTACCACTCTTGGTTCTGTCAACCCTGGGACTCTACCTTCACCAAAGGGACCAGCCTGCCCTTGAAACCAGAAAATTCTCCCCTATAAATAGATGGTGTAAACATGCTTCAAATTGAGTGCAATTTCCAGATGATAAAAACAAGAGCAAATGTTCAGTCAATGACACTTTATGCCAGGAACCACTATAAACAATCCACATCAGTTAATGTCCAAAAGAGTCCTCATAGATAACAAGTCTTTAGCATCAGATGAGAAAAAAAACTGAAGCCCAACTAGGCTTTCTTGCCCAACTAGGATTTCTCTAGCTTCAGAGAACAAGTCTTACCTTTCCCATTGATTATTAGTTGAACTACTTAACGTTTGAAGAACCAACTTACATTTAGGATTATTGCTAAATTTGGATCGAATTCTTCCTAAAGTTCCAGGCACTAAAGTGATGTCATCCACGTTAGTCAGATAGTTGCTCAAGAATTCAGTTCTGTCACATGTCACGTCTTCCATTCCTATGGGGATAGAAAAGCACACATACACACAAGTACTGTTAGATAGTATTAAGGTTAAAATCCTAAAACACTCACACAGACAATGAAGATGGCATTTTAATATTTCTTTAATTAGATTATAGTAACCTAATAAGAGGAAAATTCACCTTTGAGATTGTTTTGATGTGAAATCTTTCTCCAGATGTTTATTTAACCATACCATCTCATATGCAGGAGGAGGATGAAAATGTGTCACCTCAATTATTATTTTGAGTTATTGAGCAAGAACAGCAAGGCAAAAAGCCATGTTTGAGGGCCAGGGAGATAACTCAGTGGGTAAAGGTGCTTGTCCCCAAGCCTGACTACATGAGTTTGATCCTTGAAGCCCATTATGGTATAAGGAAATAACGGACTCCCACAAATTACATAATTATTCTTCTGACTTCTACTTGAGTGCTACACCTCTCTCTCTCTCTCTCTCTCTCTCTCTCTCTCTCTCTCTCTCTCTCTTACACACACACACATACACACACACACAATAAATAAATAAGCAAATAAACATAAGAGTGTTTGAAAAACACAAGCTATTGACAGTTGTTATGAAAAACATTCATTCATTAAAAATAGGCCCTATTCAGGCGTCTCCATGACTGGTAAGGTGACCCGCTGATGCCCCACACAACCCAAGTCAGAAGCTCATTATTTAATAAAAGGGGGACCTGTAAGTCCCTGGCACCCGTTTTAGGTAACTGTTGCCTTGCTTGCGGATCTTGACCTTGATAACCTCCCTATGCTAATTCCCTGCCAGGTTCCACCCTCCTGAATGCTTAAGGGAAGTTCCTTGTCTGTGTATCCTGAATAATGGGCGTTACAGCTTAGATGCAAGATTGTAAAACATCAGTAGGGAACTTCTGCCCTCCGGGGTTCTCCCATTGTGCTGTAAGCCTGTATTTAAGACCTCCTCCCTCCTTCAATAAATGACATTCGGCATTTAAAATTAAAATATATATATATAATTGAATGAATACTGCGAATGTAATCTATGAATACCACAAATGTGATTAATATCATGAGTGTAATTAATGAATATCATGAGAATAATTTAAAAAATAAAAAAAAATTTAAAAAATAGGCTCTATTGAGCTTGTGGAGTAGGAATTGCAAGTCTAGGACCTCTATTCAATGAAGGGGGCAGAAGGGGGACTGGAAGGCAGGCACATGGCTCTCAGGCAGGTCACAGGGGTTGGTGGAGTTTCCAGCATGTGTTTATGGCCTCTATCTTGAGAAGGGAGGTCTTTGATCAAAAAGATGAGTAGAGTGAGCAGTGAAAGTCTACATTCCTGCCTAAAAATGGAGGTCAATGGCATGTGGCAGGGATGAGTGTAACTGACTGTGTGAATCTGAGGTCCCTTTATGAACATGGGGACACAGATAAGGTAAGGAAGGCAGTAAGGAATATGTGGTCCTTAGATAGGTAGGTCAAAGGGGTAGTTTCACCGTATAAGGTTCTTTATAATCACATTTCAGCTGTTCTTCTTAGTATACTATAAGCAATTTTTATACCAGAAAATATTTATAACCTTCAAGCAATACTAAACAGGAAAGATATTAAACATTTCTAGAAATCAAAATGTTGGGAACAATTAATACCACAATAAATTGTTTATCACTCATGACAAAAAAAAATAAACAAATGGAAAAAGTAGACCCTACTGCTTCAATCTGTTTCTAGCAGGATAAGAGAGAGGGTGGCATGAATGATTAGAATATGCACTCACACTTCTCTTTTGCAAAATGTCACTTCTGGAACTGGAAAGACGGCTCTGTGCTTAAAAGCACATGTGGTTCTCGAAGGGGAATCCGAGGTCAATTCTTAGAACTCACGTCAGGCAGATTACAACTGCCTGTAACTCCAGCTCCAGGGGTATCTACACCTCGGGTCTCTGCAGCATGCGCGCGCGCACGCGCACACACACACACACACACACACACACACAGATACACACATATTTAAACAATGCCATTTCCTGTTCTTTTTCCTTCTAGTACATCCCCTATCTTAAGGATAGAGTCACGACTCCTCACTCTATCTTCACTGGTGGCCTTTGGTGTTTACTGACAAACAATACTGGCAATAAGAAATGAGGGAAAGAAAAACAAAGTCAGTTCAAATGACCACCCAAACCGACAAACAAAATAATGTGCAAAGACAAGTGGTAAACAACATAATTACAACCGGAAGTTAGCATCTTCCACACAGAAAAGATCTAGGGAGGGATTTTTTTTTTTTTTAACTAACTGATATTCCTTCTCGCCTTCAAATTTGTCTTCTGCCTTCTAGGGGAATTGTCAATATTTTGAAAAGTAATTTAAATCTTAAGATTATACTCTAGCAGCTCTGCAGATCTAAAACTCATAGAGATCTTTATTGACATTTTTTTTTTTTAGAATTCACAAGATGACCCAGCACAATGAAAGTTTACAGTACAGCTGGTGTCAGCCCACACACCTACGGTGTGACTCTCTGAACTTCTAGTTATCTGTAGTAAGTAACAATCCAAAACATATGAATGGAAAATTCCAAAAACAAATAACTTACAAATTTTAAATTGCCCTTCTAAATAGCATAGTGAAACTGACTGCTATCCATTCTGTTCCATTTTTCTTAAAACTACGTCATCCTTTTAGCCAATGTATCTACACAGTACCTAAGAGAGATCATATTCAGATAACTTTTTAAAGCATACTCTCCTGATCGATGTGTTTTATCGCTAGCGATTGTTGTTAATTTCTTACTTTGTCTAATTTATAAATTAGATCTTATAATTACAAGTGTATCAGAAAAGGCAGACTTACAGGGTTAAGTGTTAACTGCAATCGCAAGCATCTACTAGGAGTCATACAACACATTCTCCTTGGATCAAGGGAGACCATTGAACTACCTTCCACAATCTAGTATATTAATATTCTCCACGAGGGAAAATAAATGATTCTAGGAAGGGTCTTAAGGGTTTAGAGCAAAGAAATGTAATCCAGAATGATCCAGATCTGGTACAATTCAAATTATCACTTTTGGGGATCCTGGATCTATCTCTTCTTTTCTTTCTAAAATTCTTTTTATTATTGTTGTGAGTATTCATCACAAGGGGTGCTACAGTGTACATGTGGAAGTCAGAGGACAGCTTGATGGAGTCAGTTCTCACTTTGTACCTTTCCACAGATTCCAGGGAATGAACTCAGGTCATCATCAGGCTCACCTAGCAAGCACCTTTAGTCACTGAACCATCTCACTGGCTATTTTTTAGTTTTTAACATCAATTGGTATGAAGAAGGAATAAAACATATTTTAACAGATCACACTCATGTTGTGTTTTGTTAAAAGTTTTTCCTTTCTTTCATTTTTTTCCTGAGACGGGGTTTCTCTGTGTAGTCTTGGCTGTCCTGGAACTCGCTCTGTAGACCAGGCTGGCCTCAAACTCACAGAGATCCTCCTGCCTCTGCCTCCTGAGTGCTGGGATTAAAGGCATGTGCCACCTCCGCCCAGCATGTCTTTTCTTTTAACATTGAAGCTTTCAGGATGAAAAAGTTAAAATAATGAATAGCTATGTGTGCTAGTAAAATGTTACCCCAGAAAGGGGAGAATCTGCAATTACAAATGAATGGAAGATGGGAAGACTCTAGTTGCATTTCAACAGTCACTTCTGTAGTTCCAACGCTGAGTAATCTCCCTAGGCTGCAGAAAGCATCAGGTGCATGTGCCTAGGGTTTCTCTAGACTCTCCTCCCTTTCCCTCCAGACTGATTTCCCCTGTGTGGAGTCCGTGTTTTCGTTCTGCAGATGAGGGAGCTGAGATTTGCAGAGGCAGATGGCATACAGAGTGCACAAGAGTCATGGTGTAATCTGAGCGCCATAGAAATTCATTCTGCCAAAGCCCAGGGCCTGCCTGAAACTGTAGGCAAGATACCTTTCTAAAGAGAGGTGCCCTGGCTTTCCTGAACCGATGGATCCATTCATTTCAGCAATCTGCACATTGAGAAAGGGTTTTACTCTGCCTGTGACCTTTATGGTGCTCTGACATGTGACTCACTGGGACAATCCACTTCTTAGATATCTGCCTCCGACATGTGAGCAAATGCTCTCCACACTTCTGGGCAACTTAAATTGAATTAAGAGTGTCACATGCTCCAATTTCCACCCTGTTTGCAGCTTTCCACTAAGCCAAATGAGATGAGAATGATCTTGCAGAGGGTATCATTTAATCCACTCAGGGAAGCAAGTTAGCGTCCGCAAACTCCACCCCTTGCCCAGTTCCTCAGATCTTCTAGAATGCTCTGGAAATAAAATTTCAGGGGCCAAAATATAACTAAGGAGATTCCCAAACTACTATTAACAGAAACGCCAAGAAGTCAATCAATTTTGATTTGTTATTTTTTTGTTGTTGTTTGTTTGTTTGTTGTTTTTTTCTCTCTACTAGACGGGAATGGCCTCAAATTCCAAGGTCATTATTATAGTTCACAGTTTGATAGTTTCAGAACATAGGTAGCACTCTCTAGAACCGAGTCTGCATGTCTATGAATAAACATGTTCTCTGAAAATCAAGTTGGTGCTGAATATGAAGCTCCCTGCCTGCGAGCTAGATTTCAGAGGATTGGAAGGTGCTATGTAGGCTGCTGGGCTAAATATTCATCAACAGTCTTACTCAGCTGTGAACCCTGTAAACTACACTGACCAATGTGGCAAGAAGCCCCAGGGATGTAATAGTGGCAAGAATGTTAGGAAGACAATCAATTACTCTCTGCCTGGATTTCAGGTCTGCTCTACAGGAGGAAGCACATGACTGGTACTGTAAACCTGGCCAAGAATACTCAGCCGATGAGTTTACAAGCCCTACTTACAGGGGTAAACCTACTATTATTACTTATCTAAGAGGACATAGTACCTCGGTGCCCTCTAAACTTGTATTTCTGTATCCGTAGATTAATACAGCTTTCAGATCTCACCAGGGTATTTTCTTTGTGCAATGGGCAACAGTGAATGCAGGAAACTCACAATGCGTCAAAATGCAGAAAGTTGCTGGGTGGTGGTGGTGGTGGCGGCGGCGGCGGCGGCGGCGGCGGCGGCGGCGGCGGCGGCGCACGCCTTTAATCCCAGCACTCAGGAGGCAGAGCCAAGAGGATCTCTGTGAGTTCGAGGCCAGCCTGGTCTACAGAGCAAGATCCAGGACAGGAACCAAAACTACACAGAGAAACCCTGATTCAAAAAAAAAAAAAAGATGCAGAAAGTCAGTGTCTGTGGGGTACTCAGCCATAAATGGAACATCTGTTATCACAAGCCTTTCCCCGAGGCTCAGCGACCATTGCAGAAGGCAGGGTGAAAAAGCACAAGAGCTAGAGATTAGAGCTAGGACAAGAGAGAAACAGTGTCTTCTGGACGTGACAGGACCACTGCCCTCATGAACTCACAGCACCTGTGGTTGCCTGGACAAGATCAAGGCGGTCAACATTCCGTGATGAGTGGAGAAGGGGTCATGAGCCCCCTTTCTAACTGAAGAGCTACTGACAATTAATGAGTCCTAGGGGAGGGAGAGTCAGTTTTCCTTAAGGATGTGTACCCTGCTAAGTTTACCATGTTCCGACAGATGGCCCCGCAGTCATGAATATATGGGTAGCACAAATTGCACTTAGTGGCTTATCAAAAAAAAAAAAAAAAAAAACATAAGGATGGGACGAGGTGGGGAGGTTGGGTTGGATCTGGAAGGAGTTAAGGGGAGGGCTGTGTGTGTGTGTGTGTGTGTGTGTGTGTGTGTGTGTGTGTGTGTGTAAAGAAGAGAGGGAGAGCAGGTCACTTCCTACACTACTTCTTCCTACACTACTTTAATGGTCTTGTCTGTTGAGGCCTTGATTTGGGCCTCGAATTTTCTCTGAGAACTCCAGGAAACCTTTTGACTTAAGTGTCATATCTTTGACAAGACCCCTACATCTCTGCCTCCTTCAAACATTTACAATTACCATTTTAACCACACAGACTCTCTGGGCTCCTGTTGGAGATGAGGGTCACAGAGGCAGGAGACTGTCACATGCTATGTGGAAGTCACAGAGGAAGTCATTAACGTCATGTGTCAGTTGTCTGCAACACTGTAATAGGAGATAGAGTTTTGTAGAAAGGTCTCTCCTACAAAGAACATGAGGATGCAGAAATCCCTGGATCTCTCCAACTTTTGCATCATGACCTAATTTCTTTCCCTATTCTGAAGCAAAGAAAAAGATGTTAAGAACAGAATTTTGGATTCTGAGAGCAGCAATTCCTTTTCTCAACACCCTAGAAACCTTCTATCACTTATTTGTTAGTTTATTTGTTTGTTTGTTAAGACAGGGTTTACTCTGTATAGGCCTGGCTGTCCTAGAATACATTCTGTAGACCAAGGTGGCTTTCAAACTCACAGAGATCTGCCTGCATCTGCCTCCCTCCTGAGTGCTGGGATGAAAGGCCTGCACCACCACCACCCCCGCAAAACTTCTATCTTAATAGCGAAGAAGAAAATGAAGCCTTACCATGGTCTCCAACAAAGATAACATTCACACACCGGTGCAGCTTCAGTTGCTTCAATCCGTCCATTAATTGCCCCACGGTTTTGTCAATCTCCCTCAGAGGATTTGTCATCTGCAAAAAGAAAGTTAGTCCTCACATATTTATTTACATATTTTTACCTTTTGATTTCCATAGGTCTTCTACCCCTAGAACGTTCTGGAAAAAAAAACTTCCGGCCCAGAGGCAGAGTTTTGTCTAGGGAATATTTTCTCACCGTTTTCTTTCTTTCTTTTTTTTTTTGAGGAAATAAATAAAAAAAACTCTCCTTACTCCATGCATTTTTAAATATTTTGATGTGAAATATCACAAATTGGTGAGGCAAATTCTTTTTGCGGCACAAAATGGCTTTTCTAAAATGTACATGCATTCTTTAAATGCAAGAGTTGTAAGAGTGAATAGAAAGTCAGACGGAGAGTGGAAAACCCTTGTTCTCTGTATAAAATCTCCAGACTTTGAACTATGTCAAAAAAAAGAGAGCGGCTGAGGGAATCAAAAGCATTAGATTTAGAGGTTAAAACCATCACCTCCTGGGAAATGAATTAGAACATTATTAGTAGAATAGGATTCATCACTTATTCCAAAGACCCTAACTGCCAACCTCAGAGCGTAACCAATTGCCTGCAAATAAAGCTGTCTTAAGGACAGGCTACTGCTTCTCGACTTCCTTCTTCTCAAACAGATTGAATAAAAATCGACAAGAATCCTCACAAACAAAAATGAACCACAGAATTTGTTCTGTTTAGACTGATGAAATACAAACCCCCAGTTCTACTCTGAGGACTATTTCCAAAGCCCAAGAAACTTAATCCACCGTCTCTCGCTGTAGCTTCAACAGGAGTCCTGAGCGCCCACGCGTACACAGGATTACCTCCCTAGACTCATCCGACGATGCAATGGACAGACTTTTAAGAAACCTCCCATCAGACATTTCACAGTAGTTTAGATGGATTTCACAGCTTAGGTAACAAACATTCGAGATAAACAAGATGCAAACAAAAGACCTGAGCATCGCTTCCAATCAAATACATTACGGCATCTGCCATTTGAATCTGCTCGGATGATTCAAGACCTTTCCTTGTAATCCTTTCATTCATGAAACGAGGTGGAGGCCTTTTTTTCTTCATGACAGGCGTCAGCATTCCAAATCACAACTGAAATTTGCAGAATGAGATGTGCCACAAAAACTTGAAGGGACTAACAGATGTGAGACTAAGTGGTATTTGTCTGAGAAACACACACTGTCCTCCAAGATCCGTGTCTAGACATAAAAACACGAAATGCATAACACATGTCTATCCTTGGCACTGAGTTATTTTCCTTTATTCAATGGGACAATTCAGGTAAAATCCAGAACCTACTTCTAAGCAATCGGGTTCATAAAGAAGAATATGCCTCAAAGGAATTTGAAAGTTTTAAGGAAGTGAATAAGCAAAGGTTCTTTTGAATGTAAATGTTAAAAGTAAACCCTGTTACTATGATTCTGAGAAAAGCATGCAGCTCTATCTGCCCATCATTTTCTCTTTCTGGCTATTTCAACTATTCCTTCGTCCACAAAGACCTCTGCTGGTCTCAGAGACAGCACACCACTCATGTAAGTCAGCATTTCATTGAGTTCTAATCTATACTGCTTTAAAAGACACGCCCTACTACCTTCTGAGAGTCTTGTTAAGAGGCAGCACCACCAATCACGGTGACTTTTTTTTTCCAACAGAAACAACAGCCCTACAAACTTAAATGACAACATCCGTGTGGAGTCAGCTAACTTGAGAGAAGATCAAAGACTCCCTTTTTTTCCTGTTGTAAGGAGAGTTCAAGATGTTTTCACATCACTGTTAACCCCTAAAGGACCAGATGGCCCTCGACTCAAAGCCAAAGACAATGCACCAGGTTTCCTAAACCTTACCCAGACTATTTTCAAACCAAATCACCAAAGGCAGCCTTCAAGCCAGACCTGCCCGCCACAGAGGTTTGGAACAGTGGATAAACTTACTTTGTCCTGACGAGTTTCCGCTGCATAATGATCCATCCTATGTAATTTTCTTCTTCTTTTGTTTGGAGGAGCAATTGGTCTTTCCTGTCTCCTCTTAGGGGCAACTTTCCTCTTAGGTCTTTTAGCCGGAGTAAGAGGTGAGTCATAACTACTCTCCTGTGCTGGCGGATAGAGATGTCTGCACTCAGAAGTCGTCTGTCCCTCTGGGCCAGATAGCAAAGCTCATACTCTCCCAATCTGGGGTCAGCAGAGTCTGAGTTAAAAAAACTAAGTTCTCCTTAAGGGAGAACACATTGGAATGAGGGGTGATTCAGGGCCCTCTATAGAGAGAAGCCACTGACCTAGGTCTCAATGTGGTCACAACTTCAGTGCTGATAGCAGGATATGATTTCAGAGGATCTAGTCATGTAGGTGCTTTTGGCTGAGAAGCCCATGTATGGATACATCTGAAAGTGATATTAGGCAAATGCCATGACTCCTGAGCTGGGGATAGACTGTCCCTTGGTTACGGAAAGCTCTCTGTGCATGATATACTAGCGTATAACCAAGCAAAGTCAAAGTCACTTGGTCACTTCAAGATGAGCATGAGGTTCATGTAGGTGGTTCGAATTCAGCAACTGAGGGACATCTATCTGATCACACCACCAAATACATTAGAGGGCTCTCAAGCTTGCACTTGTTCAACCAAGGACAAAATAAAACAGAAATAATAAACAGTCCCCGTTGGTCCTGAATGAACGCATACACATCAGGACTTTCAGCCACAAAGAGGAACACAGGACTGTGTGCCTAGAAATCCTCTTTGAAAATGAGAGCTATCAAAAGTCCCTGAGATTTCTTCACCAGGGTAGAGAGATGAAGAAAGCCTCCGCTCAGACTCTTGCTATGGGAAGCCAGCTCCCTGTCTGAGGCAACAGTGGTTCTCTAAGCACTGTTTGGAATTCCAGAGAGCAGTAACATCTAAGGAAGACCCCCCCATGCTGGAGATAACCAGCCCCTGATTTGCTGATGGTGCAAAGGTGAATTAAAGCAGCAGGTCCTGCTGTCTACCTAACTACCTTATCTCTTGGCAGGACTGTTCCAAGAGCCATTGGGATGCAGGCAGGGGCAGGAAGAGGAACAGGGTTAGTGCCACCAAGGAGAACATCTGCCATGCGGTTGCTCTGTTCCCAGGGCAAGCGGCTGCAAGAGCACTTTTCTTTCTGTCTCATCCTCTCTCTCCGGCAGAGCAATCAAAAGTCACAGCCCCGTAGACTTTGGTTCAGTTTGCTTTGGTTTTAATGCTTCTAGTTTAGGCAAATCTCCATGAGAAGAGCAGGGAAAAGGAAGAGGGTTTTTCCATGTCATAGTCACCGAGTACATTCCGCGAGTGCTCAAATCTGCCCATCGAACTCTAGGCCATTTGCAAAGGACTCCAACATTCCAAAGACGCCCAAAGAGAACCCTTCCAATTGCAGCAGGTTAGAAGAGCAGAAGAAACGGAGTTTAAGCAAACTGAGGTTTCATCCAGGGATTACAAAGGCATGTTTCTCTTTCTTCACATGTTAGAGGTAGATGAAAGCTAAGTTTTCACTGACCAGCCATACTTCAGCCTGAATTTAGAAGTTTTAGCCTGAGGTTATTCAGAGGATGGGAGGGGGGGGCGCAATCTTCCCTGTTTTTCAGAAGGATTCTTTACCATCTGAAGGTAGGGACCAGCCAGCCAAAGCTCTGCCTCTAGGCCCAGAAGAGCAGCCGAACAAGAGGTCACAGAGAAAGCAGAGGTCAAAGAGAAAAAAGATTGTGCCAATAATCAAAAGCAAGCATATTTTGAACATTCACCATTACACTATGAAACCAGGAGCAGTACACCATTTCTTGAAACTGTTAGCCCCGTGTTTGGCCATCTCAGTTAATAGCTTTTGAGACTCACCCTGAAAAACAAGTGTACTCAAATATTAAGCAAATAAACCACAAACTTCAATTGAATTCATCTTACTGTGCCATATAACTCTTTTGCTGTTTATATTCATTTCAAATGCAAATTTTTTCTTATTACTTGTAAAATGGTATGCATTAAAAACAACCTTTCACCTAGTGTGTGTAGTGCTCTCATGCATACTTAAGATCTATGATGATACATGGGTGTATATAAATATATGTTTATATATATAAAAATACACACACACACACACACACACATATATATATATATATATATATATATATATATATATATATATATAAACACCAATCAAGTTTATGACACAAGGAAGGTTTTGCTGGCTTGCTTTGGTTCTATTTTAAAAGCACAAAACCATTTTGTTTTGATTTCAGTAGAAGTTAACTTAGAACCATATGGAAAATAGTCGAAATCTGAAAATGTCCTTTTCTTTATGAGAAGAATGTGGTCAGGCTATCATATACTCTAAGGTATACAATTAATAATGTTTACCCAGCAGATAGGGAAGAAAACTCCAGCTACAAGCATTGTTAATACTGAAAAGAACATAATAAGAATACTTACAACTCTTAATTCAAAAATACTATGCAGGGGAAAGGCTTATATGATTATAAGCAATTATGGACATAAAAACCATCATTATACCAAGTTAAAGTATTCGACACTTGCTTCATTTAGTCATTGCTCAGCACTTCAAAACAACCGGGTTGTTTCTTACTCAAAATACATCTACTTTCACAAGGTAGCTGTAATGAAACTACACACATCACAAACCCAGAGACATCCCTGGAAAAGAACACTGACTGCTAAGCCGTGTGACTCAAGGTAGCAAACGTGTTATAATCCATGTGTATTGTTAAGAGCCAGCTCTTGCCACATAGATGGTGTTTCCTATCATTTGAACACGGTTATTAATAGGTGGCTTTGTTCATCCCAAGGAAGGTTGGGTGGTTCTGTGGGAAGAAGTTTCATGGTCTGTGAGTCTACCACAAATCTTCCACTTACCAAGGAACTTAAAGAAGCCACAAACCTCTTTAAGTACCAGACTCAACTTTCAAAAGAATGGCCATATCAATATCAGCTCCTGTTTTCTTCTTTTAAAGGATATTACTCAGACAACGTTGGACTTTTTAATAGAGCACATGGAACTAGTTAGGTGTTTAGTGGGACGGATTTTTTTTTTTTGACATTTTAATAAAATCTAGTCCCTTTAGTTCATTTTAGATTAATATCAAGGAAAGTCTTCCCAAAGATAAAACAGCCATCCTTCCTTTTTTTGTGTTTCATGTATGCAGATGTTTATCTTGTTTTATCATTTGCGTTTCATGATCCTGCAATAGCGCTTGAACATCAAAAGAATGAAAGAGGCCCAGATTTCTATGACTTCCGTGATTCAAGACCAACTCTGAATGGTTTCAGATAGCTAATAGTTTCTAGTGCTTAAAAAAATTCATCCAACACTGAATTGATGTTAAAGTATTCAGAAATCCTCAGGGCTTCTTGGTATTCACTGCCTTTGTTTAGACATAGAGAAATTTGCTCAAAACTGCTTAAATCAAGATACGTTTATCTGCATCTCTAACATATCTGTATGCTGAACACAGTGAATTTAGTTAGAGCAATCATGCCATCACAGGCTTCCAGAGAATTGGAGACAGTACCCATCAACAAACACTTTTTAAAATAATTTTCTCAGCTCAAATCAAGTTTTACATTGTTGTGGTAACTTCTGTGCCCCATGGGGGAAAAATGGAAAATATTTAAAATGTTTTAAAATTTTGACTTGTAGACTTTATTGTATTTCAAATGCTCTATACTGAAACGTTAGAAAGCATTTCCTCTTAAATGAATAAAACACAATAATAGTCAACCATTTCCTGAATGTGAACTTATAGTGAACCATGCTTTCCAAGCAGATTGTCTCCTACTGGGATGGCTAAGTGTGACCAGGGTGTGGCCAGCTCCACTAGCCACAAGCCTCAAGTGGAGAATCTCTCTCATTTCAGAACTCATTTTACCTTTGGGGGTACTCATGGTTTCACAGTAGGAACATCTATGTCCAAATAACCCATTAAATGTATCTCTACTAGGCTACATGTCAGGTTAATCACACATGCTAAGGCTCCCAGGCTGGCAAAAGAACTTCCCCTCTGTGAACTGTGTAACCATTTGAAAGGCGTTGAAATTCAGTTGTAATGTCCTGTATACCAGAGGTTTCATAGATTCCTTCGGTCCTAGCCCATTGCTGGCCAAACCTTCACCTTGTTCCACTAATACCTTCAAGGCTGAAAATCCCCCCCATTTTCCATAACATTGTGTTTAGGATGTTTTTATACCAAAGCAATCTGAAATGAAGTTCCTGGAAGAGAAACAAGTATATTTAAGGTTTTCTTTTTTTAAGTTTTCTGTCTTGAAATTATTTGACCTTGTATACGCCTTGTAGATTTGAAAACTCCCAGACTTTGCATAAATTCTGAAATAAAGTTTTGGACATTCGGTGTCCCAGCAACATGGGGTCTTCTCAGGCAGACGATAAATTACTAACCTCAGGGCCAAAAGGGCCATATTTGTGTCCAGAGAAATCGGGCTGCTCAGAATAGAAAGCATAAACTGAAGGCCTGTGGGAAAATTAGAACCAGAGTCAACCCCAGGCTACACAGAGAACTCCATATCACACGTTTAAAAAAACCTCCAAGAGGGTCAGGGGTACACAAGAAGGCAGTAGGAAGGAAATAAGAAGAAACAAAACATTGTAACACACACACACACACACACACACACACACACATATATATATATATATATATATATATATATATATATATATGCAAATGCCATAAAGAAACCCATTGCTTTGAATGTTAACCTAAAAAAATTAATTTACAAACAAAATCCTTCTAGCTTAGTTAGTCTCCCACCCACTATTAGTATTACCATGGAAAATTTTTACTTTCCATGACTTCTTGACCTATCACTCTACACCTCTACACCACTCCCCAGTGTGGTAACTGCAAGTACCACTTCAAAAGACTAAACGTCACAATGAAAAAAACTGAACATCACCGGAGATTCTGATCCTTCGGCAGCAGAATCCAGTAATCATCGCCACAGGCCATGTAATATGTGGGACTGAAAAAACTGACTATATTCAGGGGAACACTCAGCCTTAATGCCTTCCAATCCTTGAGTTACTGCTGATCAATTCTGTTATCAAAGCCAAAAACTCAATTCAGGTCTATTGAAGTCACCAAGATTAACGGCTGGAGTAATCCACGTAATTAAATGGTCCCCAGTAACTCCAAACTTCTAAAGGAAATAATGCTTAATAACCGCAAAACTTTTAATAACATCAATCCTTGGCTGTGCTTCTATGTCACAGTCCATCCAATGCTTTGTCCAGCACTAGCCCAGAATGAAAAATACTGAAGAAAGAAAAGGACAGATGGGAACAGATACCTCTCATTGTCTGGTAATGAAAGCCACTGGAGGATGGTTAGGATTCTCCGCTCATGAGGGATGGTCCTGGAAGGGTGCAAAAACAAAGCCAATCCTTAGGTTGCATTTTCACAAACCCACACCCCAAGCTTCTAACACCCAGGCCAACGCCCTCTCTCGTCCCCACCATCTGTTTCCACTTCAATGCGATGAAGGGCCCTCTTTGGGATTAGTGTCTAAACTTTCATTTCCACCCCCCAACCTATTTTATTGCTCAACCCCTTCTATGAATGACTGGACTGGAAACTCTGATTCATGACCAAAGTGAAGAACCTATCTTGCTGATCAGAAACTGTGCTACAGGCGGGAAGGACCCTGGCTTTAAAACCAGTGTTGTTAAACGGGTCAGGCCCTTTGCTGTGGCAGATGGCTTCCGGCACCCAGCTCTGGCTGGCAATGTGACTTCCGCGGACCTCAAAGCCTCCAAACCTCTCTGAGCCTCAGTTTGTCCATCAGAATGATAATGATAACAACGAAGAACGTCGCACACCGAGTTGCAGGGTGAAGTGAAATAAAGTAAGGGAAGGGCCCACCCAGTGTGCCTAACGTATAGCAGGTGTTAAAAGAAATTATTATCAAAACTAAAAATAAGTCATATTTTATCAATGATCCCAGTTAGATAACCATCTGCCTCCAAATAGCTATGACTTTGAAAACATTATTTAACCTCAAACTTAAAGTTCCTTCTCTATAAAATAATGGGTTAGTGGAGGTACTCTTGACATTTTCTTCTAGCTTTATAAAAATCTGTCAAGAGCAGGCACATATAATTATGAGACTCACAAAAGGGTTATAATCTTCATCCACAAAGGTTTTTGTGTTTAAGTTACCATTCCTCTGTTGAACATAATTACCCTAGGCCTGGCAGTAGCATTATAAGCTCTTGGCTAACACAGGATGGCATCCTGGGCTGAATGCTGTTAGGATGCTCGCAAGCTAAGCAATATTTTGACTTGAGAAAGAGTCATTTATTTTGTCCCAACAAGGAACACAAAATGTTCTTCTGCTCTAAGATCAGGCCATAGAGGCAAATTCATGATGAATCCAAAGTAACACTAGTTTCATCGTGGTAAGGAAAATTATTGGGTGGGACGTTTGAACCTTTACTCTTCGGGAGAACATCAGCAAGAGGGCTGGGAGAAAGATAAATCCTCAGAAACAGGGTCAATGACTAGGGCTACAAGGCCTCTTTCTGCCATCATCACCCATCCCACTCGCTCAGCGTGGCTGTCCTCTCAGGATTTGACACCACTCTAGAAACCTCTCTGTCTAGAGATGTCCTCTGAGACTAGAAAACCATGCTTACTGTAAAATAAGTCCTGCTGTTAACATATTCCAATGGCACTGAATAAATGTGGCCATGCTTATTATATCCTATAAATGAAATAGAAATAGACTGAGCAAAGCCAGGTTAATCACTTAAGGAATTTAATCCTTTAGTCTTAGAAATCTGTTGTATCTGAACAAAATAATGTTAACTGCATGTTTTGAATTCTTTCCTAACTTATATATAAAAAGAAACCAATGCCTCGGCCCATTCATGTTACCTTATTCCTCACCTACCTGAAAGCTGTTTTATTTTGTGTGTGCGGTATCACCCCACAAATTTGGATTCTGACAAGCTCACTCCTGATGTCAGTGAAGAAATACAAGGTAACAGAACACATGTCAAGCTAACAATGCTCACCTTTTAACCCCCTTGCTGCATGGGGCACTTGAACAACTCTAGAGAATCAAAGACACCAGCCTGGAGGACAGAGTGCCTGGGTTTGAATCCTAATTCCTATAAGCATTGATGATAAGATTTTGGCAAGGTACCTATCTTTTGATGCCTCTGCAAAACACTGGTAGCAGTATCTATTCATAAGGTTATTGGAAGGTTTCAAAGAGGTAATGTTTGGAAAGTGCTTTAAAACAGTTTCTGGCTCATAGAACGAGGTTAGGAAAATACTAGTTTTACAAGATCAAGCCAATCAATAGTCCAAGATGGGCGGGGGGTGGCGCTGACCAGCCTCCACTCCTAACTGAGGAGCTACTGACAGCTGATGGCTTCTAACGGAGAGAGTCAGTTCTCTCTGAGGTTGTGAGCTCTGGTTGGTCAACCACGCTGGATGGCCCCACATCCATGAGTACATGGGCAGCATCAAGAGCATCAAGTAGACTTGGTAGGTAGGTTAAAAAAAAATAAAAAGACATGAAGTTGGACAGGTGGGGAAGGAGGGGTGGATCTGGGAGAAGTTGGGGAGAGGGTGGGGAGTTAATACCATCAAAATATAAGAAATTATCCAAGAGTTAAGAGTTAATAAAATGTTATATTAAAAAAGAAAAAGTCTAGTTTATATAACCATGTACTGGATTTTGAAGTCTATAGAGAGGATACATTCATTCATGAAATAAATATTAAAGGTACATTGTGATTTAGACCTGTATATAAACACAAAGATGCAAGATTCTCCCACCAAAATGACTGTAGTAGAAGAGTCATCCTCCTCTACTCGGGATGGAAAAGCAGAGGATTATTGTATCACTTCTTGAGTAAAGCCACCCCCCACAGTGTTGTGTGTGCTACAATGAAGACTCTGGAGGTCTGTGTTCATCCTTAGTGTGTCCTTGAACACAGCATTTAACAATTCTAAATCTTAATGTTGTCATCTTGTAAATAAGGAGTTGGGCAAGGTGGTCTCTAAAGTTTTCTATGTGTCTGGAAATAACCTCACAGATTAAAAAAAAAGAAGAAGAAGATATGGTCAGTCAGATAGTGGTGGCACATGCCTTTAATCTCAATAGAGGCAGGTGGACCTCTGTGAGTTTGAGGTCAACCTGATCTATAGAGCAAGATCCAGGACAGCCAAGGCTACACACAGAGAAATGCTGTCTCGAAAAACAAACAAAAAGACACGATCCTGTGGTCCTTAACCATTAGTGTCTCAAATACAGGGCAGAGAATTGCAATAACCTGATCAAGGACACCAAGTATCTAAGCAGCAAGGAAAACAAGACACGTGCCGTTGTCTTCAGCACCCTGACTGAAAAAGAATTAATCTTGAGACCAAGTACAATCTTAGGACACAGTCGCAGAAAGGAAAACTGAAAACGAGAAAATGAAGAGCCAAATGAAGTACTGGTGACAGGCTACATTGTCTAGTCAGCGTTTAAAGAGATAATGAAAATAAAAAACAAACCAATGTCGGCTGTTGACTGTTCTGTCTGTACCAAGGAACCTAATAAAGCTCTCTAAGAAAGGTAACTCAGTCTGTCTCCACAGTACCCTTATTATAACCCCTATTTAAAGATAAGAACATTGATTTGTTGAGGTATTCAGTCCTATGCCCAAGACCAGGAGCCTCATAAGTAGCAGACCTGGGACTGCACTCAATCTGAACACAAATACATAATGGGAATTACTGCCTCTGAGAATGAACTGAAACAAAAGAGTGAAATGCAGTATCAGCTGGGGATGATTTTGAAATGAAATACTGTCATTTAAGAAGCAAGAATGAAATTCCAGACTGCAATACAGAACCATATTAAAAGAATAGGCCTTTAAAGTCTAAACCTATGGTTTGAATCTGGTTTTTATTTAAATTTAAAAATTTTCAGAATGGACTATATGTAGATTCCCTTGACATCTATTCCCTGGGAAAAAAAGGAGAAGCCTGATCATATTTTATAAAGTTATAAAAAGCTTCAAAGCAGTGAGGGTTGGGAGTAAATGAGCCCACTCACTTACAGGACGTGGAGATAAAAGAATAGCTAGGGAAAGCAAAGACATCTTGGGAGCACACAAAAGCCACCTCCTTATAAATGGTTTCAAATGGGTAGAGAAAACTGTCATTCAAAGCCAGAACACTGGGCCTTTTCAGGGAAACTCGGCAGCACTTCCGGGGGGTAAGGGAGCAGACTAAGTATTAATTATGGTGTTGGCCCCACTCCATTCTGCTGGGGGAATGAGTTGCCCAGCAGAATTCCCGCATACATCTGTGAGAGCCAAGGGTTAAACCCTGAGCTGTGGAAGGTTAACTTGGTAAATAACAGGCCACTTGACATTAAACAGCATCCATTCGAACATAGCCATGCTCGCCCCTCAACTCAGAGAGCTCTTTAAAAGAGGAAAGAAAAAATACCTCTAAATCGGTACTATCTTAGCTTCAGGTCACCCAAAACAATCAACGGAACCCTTCTAATCTGAAGAGGCTGCCTCTATTCCTGAATTTGGAGTCTGCAGAAAGCATCATTTTGGATCAATCTTAACCCATGATTGGTCTCACTCAACACACTGCTGCTCAGAGAACAGTCTAGATTTTTTGTTAAAGCATTAAAAAAAAAAAAAGCAGTCATGGAAACAGCTTTAGGGGGTTAGGAAAAAAATGGAAAGACCATCACACTGGGAATAAAATCCCCATGAAAGTCGAACCGGGCCCCTTTTCTTATTTAAGAAGCCTTAAAAAGAATCAACGTTTTTGAGAATTTTATCAGGTAAATTTCATCTGAAAGCCTGAAAACGTCTATTATTAATCTCCAGTTACTTCTGCAGGGATAAGCAGTCCCGTTTTCTTACTGGGAAAATTCGAAAAGTTCGGTAGGAAATGGGATTAAAAAATGGAGGCTTCCCCTACCCAGGTCTACTGTGGAGAACTTCCAACTCTAGACCATTCCATCAGCTTCCCAACTGCCTGAGGCTGCATAATATGTTCAAAATTGAGAATCAAAATAAATAAATACAATCAAAATAAACACAATAGTTTGTAATATATTTATAAAGACTGATAACAGAAACTGCAGTGATAGTCTAAGAGGAATACACATTCCTGGGCAAAAAGTTACCAGAATAAAGGTTAACATGATAAAAGATCTAACGGGTAGGTCAAAGAGAAAATCGTTCTTAACTGAGGGATGGGATAAGAGAGAAGAGAGAGAGAGGATGAAGAGAGGCTGAGAAGGGAAGCAAAAAGAGAGAGAAAGAACCTTTGAGGAAAAAAATGCCTGAAAAGTTACTTCTGAATCGATAAATTCTCATCAATTTGACATGTTTACATTTAGCTGAAATGAAATTGACCAAAATCATGTTTCATAAATTGAACCATAACTGTAATTTTATAAACAATGACAAAATAAAGGTAACTTACACAGACCAGAAGAATGTTCCAGCTCTCACCCCTTGCTTGGTGGCTGTAATCCATAGCTAATGAGGAAAATAAAAGAGGCTTATAACACATTCTGAGCTCTGGTTAAAGAAGAAAAACACTCAAATACATTAAGTCTGATACACTGTACTCTATTCGTGTGCACCATAAATTTCACAAGATTTCCAACCATTTTTTTTTCACATCTGGAAGTCAGACTCATTATATCCATAAACATTATTCAGTACATATTCTGCAAAAAGCCTCAAAAGCCTTGCTGTGATGCTACTGACTTTTCAAAATTTTATTTCATCCCTAAAGTCTCTCTTTTCTATACCTGTCTTTCCTGATAACTGTTTTAAGCATTACTTATGTGGTGGAATTCTGCTCATCAAAGGATGCAGGGATTGACCATATGTGTCTTTTACTACTGATGGCTTTACAGAGTGGAGTCTCAATTTGGTACCCAGATGTCAAAAATCTTTAAATCTAGCTTGTCATGTTTGACTTTAAACTAGATGAATGAGGGGCGGGGGGAGAAGAACTAAAAAGGTTACTTTTTAATCTATATTTTTATATTGTTCATCTAGCTTTTTTTCTTCTTTTTAGTAAATGGGGTTCTAGGAGAAAGTACATAGGATAAGTTGGGTGAATGACGCATTCCATGAAGAATGTTTGTAAATATTCCCTGTAAACCAGTCATTGATGCACGTCTGCAATCCTAATCCTAGGAAGTCTGAGGCAAGACAACAAACCTAGGCTACACGATGAGTTTTTGTTTTTTTGTTTTTTAATTCTAGCTCATGCTGATAAGTGAAAGACGAAGGAGTTCAGAACCCAGGCTTTGCACCTTTGCAGCCTGGACCTTGACCCCTGTTTCTGTCACTTAACAACGGCATGGTCCTCCAGAAAGTTACTTCATCTTTTTGGGCTTTGGTTTCCTTCACAACGCAGATGGACTTTTCCAGCACATGGGATGATGCTACATTTTAATGAGTTAATTCACTGAAAATCCTTAAACCAGTGTTTTAGCATTGGATAAACAGTCTGTTTCAGCCTTTTATTATTGCACAATAGTGAAAAAAATCAATGGAATCCATTGACCCCAGGAGCATTAAAAGCAGCTTACAGTGGCAAGTGTCCCACGAGAAGCCTGTGGGAAGAAATCCTCACACAGGAAGACAAGGGCAATTTGTGACAGGGACTGTAGGCCAAGACCAAAGCAAATGGAATCCTTTTCCCATTTCATTGCATCCAGACTTTGGGAGTATTTTATGGTATTTCTGATGGAAGTTTCTATTTTATTTACTTATTTGTTTATTGTAGAAATATGTCCTTGGGAAGCATAGGGGATCTAGGAGCTTTGGTTGACCATGCCAAAATAGCATGAGATGCTCAGCTTGAAAACTTCTGAAAGGATCTCAGAGCCCCTTGGAGCATCTAGAAATCTGCATCCTAAAGATTCACAGCTATTGCTGCTAACCAGTGAGTCATGAAGTAGGAGAGCATCAAGCACTTGCAGATCTGAGGGCTTCTGGGGTGCTAGTGAGCTCGAGGGAGGAGGACCTTGCCTCATTCTCATGGCTCCTTCTGGTCCAGGACATCTGGTTCTCTGGCAAGGCTCAAAGATTTAAGGGTCTCAGATTGCTCTAAGTGTCTCCCCTTTGTCTGGTTCAGCACCAAGAAACAGCCTTCCACCTTATAGGTAACCTCTGGCATGCTCCAGCCAGGTTTTATAATACATCCTGGACTTTAAATTAGCCTGGCCTCAGCACTCCTACCAACAAGAGATGAACTCAAACTAAGAGCCACCTTGTGCCAGCCTCAAAACTATGCCAGATCCTAAAGAGGCCTGTTTCTCATGAGACCAATGTTTATACTTACTTTATTTCCAAGGATACAGGCTCACTGCACTCAGATCCAAACAACTTCCTGGAAAAGCTACTGCCTTGTTGTTTCCAAGGAAACTGTACCAGGCAGTATTTGATATGTAAGAAATATAAAGTCAACCTGGGCTTGCTAAAGGAAAAAAATCATAACATGAACTTCTCAAATGATGACCTACATTTCCCAAAATTATAGCACAGAACCCATGCTGATGTTGGTTTATCTGGACAATGGGAAGTCTTAGGGATAGCGTTTAGCTCATGTTCAAGATCACCAGCAGAAGGATTCACAGTGATAGGATACAATCATGGTATGAAGATGACAAGTAACCATGGTAACAACTCTGACAGCCCACATGAAGATGAAGAATGAGGATGCAGGAGGGGTGACTGGACTACTCAAAGGAGCTGCTCAGATACCTGGCCTGGCCCAGCTCCATCCTGCTAAGGATGACCAAGATAGGTCACCAGAGGGCTGTCCTCATATGCTATACTTTCAGGAAGTTCCAAGCCCCTCCCCCAACCCATGGCCCTCCTGAGTGAACTGGCAAGCCCACTAATGTATGATATTAAAGAGGTGGCAATAAGTCACTTATGTTGGTGACAAAAATCAGAATCTAATTTTTTAGACAGGATCCTTTATAGACTAGGCTGGTGTCAACATCATTACATAACTGAAGATTTTGATCTCTCCAGCACAGAGATTACATGTGCATGCTATTAGAATCGGTTTTCTGTGAATTTTCTATATTTTCCATAAATTTTCTGTTGAAGTCATATGTGTACTTTTAAAATCACAAAATATAAACTATTGAGACAATTTGAAGATCAAGAAGTGTGTTTCTAGCCCAGCATGGTCTTGTCCATCTGTAATCCCAGCAGTAAGGAGACAGAGTGGAGGATTAAAAATTCGAGGACAAGTATATATATTAAAAAAAAAAAAGTGCCTTTCTTCTGAAAAAAAGAAACAAGAAAATTATCTCTCCTTCTTAGTAACTATCACACTGACTATATTTCTAAAAGAAAATGAGGGGCCTCATCAGAAGAAAACAAAAAGTGAATAATAGAGAATATATGAAATTAAATGTATATTTACTTATCACATAATACTAATCAAATACAGTGGAGTAAACAAACAAAAGACATAAAAAGAGGGGGAGACTAGTTGTAAAGTAGAAAAATTAAATGAGTAATGGAGGACAAGAGAGCAATGGGAGAGAATCTGACCAAAATACCTTGAATATATGTGTGAAATTGTCAACAAAAATCTACAATATATTTGTGTATGGAATTGTACAAAAAAAATACACAGGCTAAAATACTCTATCAAAGATGATATATAAAACTGTTCATACCAACATAACTTTTCTTTTATTGTTTATAGTGTATATGCCAACATTTTATTGAGAAAGTATTTCATATTTGAACAAGCTTTTTTGAACACTGCTGTGGAATAATCTTTTTGTACACTGTGAAGATGTGTCACTCTGATTGGTTTAATAAAAAGCTCAATGACCAATAGCTAGACAGGATTTCTGGGTAGAGAGGACACTGGGAAGAAGAAGGGGAGACACCAGGAGCCACTGGGCAAGCAGGATGGGCACTACAGAGATGAGGTAATAAGGCCATGAGGCAGAAAGTAAATTAGTAGAAATGGTTAATTTAAGTTATAAGAGCTAGTTAGAAACAAGCCTAAGCTATCAGTTGATCTTCCATAATTAATAATAAGACTCTACACATTTTCACATGATAACACATTCCAAAAAAATTTTAGGTATTATAAATTAAATGGTTAAAAATCATTTAATAATCTCATAGCATGGTCAACGTTTAGCAAATTCTGGGAGACTGAAGCATAAAGGGATTTCTTCAGTTGAATCCTGAGCTGCCAGAAGAGCTTCTGTAGAGGCCATATGTATATCTTATATTTCAGGGGTCAGAAGTATGGGGATTATCAAAACCAAAGGCACTAAAATGCTGACTCAAAGAAGAAAATCAAACATGCCCCCTTTAGTGCTATTTTTTTTAAGTAGAGGAGAAAGAAAAGCTCCCAGATCCTTGTTAATTCAGAGATGGATGTCATGATTTTTTTTTCTTAACTTGGAGGTAAACATACATTTCCTTAAATGTTAACATTTTTAAACAAATAAAGTAAGAAGATATTGACTGAGTGTGGACCTTCTATCCTTAAATACTCATAACTTTCTGTTGCAAAAGCCAAACTCTCATCTTTGGTATGAGAGCCCTATATACTATATTTTGAAAACTAGGCAAATGGAAATATGACTGTATCTTTTTGCTGTGTTTCCAGGAATGCAAAGAATCAATAAAGCTTTCCCACTGGACCCAGGTTGTTCAATGTGAAATTCAACACTTTCTGTAATTATGAAAGTATATAGGTATGGAAGCAGGAAAGTTTTTAAAAAGAAAATAAGCTAGAAATATTTTTCAAAAACATAAGCATAGAACTGTAATCCTTTCAGCATTTCTTTGCAAGGAAATTGTCCTTTGCAGTCAAAGTCATAGAACTAGGTAGATAAGAATTTTGACAGACCAGAAGAACAGACAGAACTACCAATTCCACTTATATTGTAGTTTTCGTTGACAATTTCACACACATATCCAATGTATCTTGATCAGAGCCCCACCCCCACCTCACACGCCCATTACTCTCTTGTCCTCTACTCCTACTTCAGCAATAGATCAAGAAATAGTGAGAATGTGAGGTAGGGGGCAGGACACGGACACTCCACTGCTCTCCAGGTAATTACAGCCAGTAGCAGGTGAGCAATAGAGCTGGGGACATGCCGGCCTGGAGCTGCCAACTCTACGATGGAGCCCTACTTGCTCGTTTGTTTATTGTTATTTTTATTTTGTTTTTGTTTTTCTTGTTTTCTTTTCTTTTTATTTTGCATACAAGACATATAAGCTAGGGCCACATGAACGTAAGGAAAGTGTCTTTGCCACAGAGCTACATCCCCAACCCTCTTTTTACTGTTTTATGTTGTTGAGACTGGGTCTCACAAAATTGCCCAGGCTAACCTTGAACTTATGATCATTATAACCTCAGCCTCCCAAGTAGCTAGAATTACAGGTCCATATTTAGAGTCCCACCCTCCCACACAACCACCCAACCCCTAGGAGCTGAGGGCTAAATCCAGGACCTTGTGCTTCCTAAGCAAGTACTCTACCATTGAGCTAAATCCCCAACCCCTGGAGTCCTGTCTTAAGGACAAATTCCCTAGAACCACAAATGAGGTGCAGAGCAGGTCAACCCCAAGTTCAGTCCATGAGGCACCAGATGAACCAGGCTTTTGAGTCAGTCTTTAGACTAGAAATGAGTAAGGCAGTCTCTATTCCCCAGGCAACCCACAGACCAAAGCAGATAAGTAAATGACAATTTCAAAAGGAGTTGGTCTAACATATGATGAGAAAGAAAGCTAAAGTACAGTCACTTAGCTTTGCCAAAACGGGCCTCCTAGGTACAGATACTATCGTAGCCGGTTTTATGTCAGCTTGATACATCAGAGATCAGGAAGTCTCAATTGAGAAAATGCCTCCATAAGATTAGGATACAGATAAGCCTATGGGGTATTTTCTTAACTAGTGATTGATGTAGCTACATTCAGCCCATTGTGGGTGGAGTCACCCTAGGCAGATGGTCCGGGGTTCTATAAAAAAGCAGCTGAGCAAGCCATGGGGAGCAAGTCAGTAAGCAGCATCCCTCCACAGCCTCTGCATCAGCTCCTGACTCCAGGTTCCTGCCCTGTTTGAGTTCTTGTCCTAACTTTCATCAGTGATGAACAATGAATGATATGGAAGTGTAAACCAAATACACCCTTTCCTCCCCAACTTGCCTTTTGGTCATGGTGTTTCATCCTAGCAATAAAAACCCAAAGACAGAGTTCAACTAAAATTTGGAATGAATTAAGAGGCCAGTGCCTGGTACGCAAAGGAATACTTCCTGGCTAAGTACCTCAAGGTGAGCAGGGGAGCAAAGTTCATCCTAAGTACCTTAAGGCAGTGGTTCTCAACCTTCCTAATGCTGACACTTTAATATAGTTCCTCATGTGGTGACCCCCCAACCATGAAATTATTTCACTGCTACTTTATAACTGTAATTTTGCTACTGTTATAAATCATAATGTAAATATCTGATACGCAGGATATATGATAGGCAATCCCCAAAGGGGTCACAACCCACAGGTTGAGAAACTCCCTTCAGAGCTAGGACAAAGAGCATTTGGGGGTGTGCTTAGCAGGAGGTCACACACAAGGCCCATGGTTCAATACTCAGCAACAAGAACAAAAATGAACACAAACTGCAGGGGAGCCTACAGGTACATACTAGCATATGGGGAAGAGGCAGAGGAAAGGACATAAGAAAAGCAGACAATGACTTGGACTTCCCATCAGGCCTATCCCTCTGACCTGGAAATCCATTCCAGTGCTGTTGTGCAGCCTTGTGCCATCTCTTTTTGGAACACGCCAGCGTCCCTCATTTTAGACTGCAATTCATTCATAAAGATGGGCCCTGCCCGACCAATAGGGGAGGGAAGCAATTCAAGGCCAGGCAGCTTGAGAACAGCAGGAACACATCTGCTCCCTTAAAAACACCCAGGAACTTTGACTTCAGGGGATTTGAAGCAGGAAGCAGGCTTGACTTGCTTCTCTAATCTGTAGCTTGAGTTAGTGCCCCGAGTCCCCCACACACGTCTAAGAGTCCAGATCTAAACCATACACAGAAGCATTCCACAGACCTCTTCAGAAGTTACAGGACTGTATCAAAGCATTTTCAAAGAAACAAACACCCTAGGGGACTCCATTAAAATACATGTAAGCATGCAGGGTCATAAGGAATCGATAGTGCATTCCAGAGATGAGTAAATTAAAAAAAAAAAAAAAAGGGAATAACAACATCAACTCCATGATGAGAGTCATCATATGCAATTGCTTTTTTGTGGTGGTTTGAAAGAAAACGTCCCCCAATGGAAGTGGCACTATTAGGAGGTGTGTCCTTGTTGGAGGAAGTGTGTCACTGAGGGGGCAGGCTTTGAGGTCACTTTTGCTCAAGCATCCCTCAGTGTGACAGTTGACTTCCTGTTGCCTGCAAGATGTAGCACTCTCAGCTATTCCCCCAGCACCACATCTATCTACAAGACACCATGCTCCCCATCATGAAGATAACGGATTGAACCTCTGAAACTACAAGCCAGGCACAACTATTAAATGTCTTCCTTATAAGAGTTGCCGTGGTCATGGTATCTCTTCACGGCAATAAAAAGCACAATTAAGATACTTTTAAAAGTGAAATTAAGTTATGGAAATTATTTTTTTTGAAAACTTATTGTGGAGATTCAAAATTTCACCTGAACACACCCCAAATCTTCATCCCATCTGCTAGGTTTTAAACAGGGACAAGTAGTGGTCCTTATTCATCATTTAATCTGGCCTCTGTTATTAGCCAAATGTCCTACATAGTTTCATCACTTAAGAAAATATGAATGGAATTAAATTGAATTACCAGTCTAAGGTTTTTATAAATAATTTTTCTACTCATTATTTTTTCACTGGGGACCTTATAAAATCTATGAGTCTCTAAGGGGTTTGTTTACATGCTTCAGGAATATATACAAATCATTTTTTACAGTGCTTACTGCTCTATATGCTAGTATCCTTAGCCTATAGTTACTAATAGTTTTTGTTTGTACATTCCTTGTAGAGGTCACATTTCAATATGAGGGGTTTTTAAAATAAAATATGGTCCTTAGCATTCTCATGGTACCTGTCTCGATCAAGATGATAGACAGAAACACAAATCAGTTTCCCCACAAATCTTGGGGAACATAAAGAGACTTGGTCAAATGTGTCGACTCTGAGAGCTAGTGAGAAGCAGGCCAACAGAGTAGAACAGAGAATTTACTTCATGGATTAACAGATGCTCTCTACTGGGTATCTGCAGAAGGTAATGAATATGTGGACTTTTCTGCTGCTGAGTCATGCTAACCCAGAGGAAACTTCATGTCAACACCGAAGTGGAAAGTGATCCAATTAGGTAAGATTACCATTTATCTCCATATATTCCTTGTGGTTCTTCAGGCAAGTTGGTTTCCATAATCAAATTATTGCCGAAGACCAACTCGCAATAGTCCGATAGAGTTCACATTTCCATCATTTTATTTACTCATAAAATATTCCTCTATCATAAACTTGTGAAATCCACCCTGTCAACAAATTTCACTGGAATCACAAACTAAGTCATCATAGACTTCTGGGAATCCAGCCTGAATAAAAACAGCAAAATCAGAACATCTATTATAAAGAGCCTTTTCTAGGGGCATGCAGGAAGTCTGTCAGTGTTTATTTTTTTTTTTTTAAAAAAAGCCCACATTTATCCTTGCATAGTGATTTACCTATTAAGCAAGATGACTATTTTGATCACAGATGACCTCTCAGAAAGAGATACGTTATGAAAACATCTCTAACTTCTACTCCTTATTCTGCCCATCTATGGCAGAAAAGCTCAGACTCAAGGCAGTCTCAGCACAGTGGGTGTGTGGAATGAGTGAGGACATCGCCTTCCTCTCACACCTAGGCAGACCACAGAGGTCTAACTCCCTCACCAGTACTCCGGAGAGCCTGAGATGGAGCCACGTTCCATTCTCCCTCTGCACATCTCTGGTTGACTATGACCTGGTCTGTGTCCCTGTGATGATCCTGAGCCTTCTGGCCCAGAGCTTGGACTCTGAAGCCCAGTTCTACACACTCAATAACCATGGCATTACGTCATTGCTTTTCTCCTGTCTGACCAAAGCAGGTTACCTAATCATACACAGTCACAGGAAAAACACCGGGAGAAGCCGCCTAAAGCCTTTTGATTTTCTGCCCAAGTGTCTGAGGTCCACAGCAGGATCTCCTTCAAAGTGTTCGTCTCTGCCTCAGAACCAAGGTAGGACTCCATTATTACATCTACCTTCTATGATCAGAATGGATTAAATAAAATAATCTATAAATTTCCTGAGTTTTAGTCTGTTCTCTTCTCCACCAACCAGTCTTATTTCTGCTTATGATGTCACTGGGGTCAAAATACCTGGAAAATCATAGTTCTTTTTCTTTTATACTGTATCCTCAAATTTGATAAGTCAGTAACATTTGATAATTCCTTCATCTAGGTGCTCTGACATTCAACCCACAGTATATTTCCACCACTACCATCCCAGAGAAGAAATTAATCATCTCACACTCTTATCATCCTAACTTATGTTCACACATGTGCATGCATAGATGCATGTACGTGTATATATGTGCATATTATATATTCACATGTTTATAAATGTATATATGCCATACAAATATACTTTATATAGACTCACATATACCCATATAAAATGTACACATATACAAACACACACACGTAATATCAGAAGATGAAAACACCCCCCACCCCAGAACTCAAGACTTACAGGTTGACCTCCCCACCATCGATGATTAAACTTCTCTCGCCCCCGAAGATGGAAAGTAGCATCAAATACAGGATCATACATTGAGTTGCCAACAATTCCATGGGATTCTGGATATAAACCCTTTGTATAAGAGCAATTTTATTGTTAAAATAGCAATGTAATAATCTGCATATATTAGTTCTATTATCAATTTTCTTATTATAGAAAACTTTATAATATTAAATTACCCAAATCAAGTAGAATATATATAGCTTTTACTTTGATTTTATTGTTTTTTTTTTCTTTTTTTTCTTTTCTTTTTTTTTTTTTTTGGTTTTTTCAAGACAGGGTTTCTCTGTGTAGCTTTGCGCCTTTCCTGGAATTCGCTTTGGAGACCAGGCTGGCCTCGAACTCACAGAGATCCACCTGGCTCTGCCTCCCGAGTGCTGGGATTAAAGGCGTGCGCCACCACCGCCCGGCTTTTGATTTTATTGTTAAAATAGCAATGTAATAATCTACATATGTTAGTTCTATTATCAATTTTCTTATCACAGACGATTTAATAATAATACATAACTACCCAAATGAAGTGGGGCACATATAACCTTTACTTTGAGTCTGTTTTTGCACACATGAGTCATAGCTAATTTTAAGTCATTTTAGAAATGTAAGATCATGATAAGAAATATAATATTTGGCTTCTTGACTGCTGAGACTTAACAAAATAGACAATCTTACTACTTTATTTGGAATGGACACGTCTCCAAAGAAGATTCAATTTATGATTCTATTTCTTCTTCAAATTTATAACTTATAAAACAATAATAATTAATGGAAAATTGTACTTAAAACAAGAAAATTGGGTAGCATTTGGAATATTTGAAAATTGAAACATAGAAGCCCTTCTGAAATCAACATTCTTATTTGAAAATTCAGAAAATAACTGATAGACACCCCTGAAGTTGAGAGTTGAATGGGAAGTTTGGCAAGAACAGCACTTGAAAAGGCTTCAATTTTAATTTCAAAACACAATTTGGTTACCCACAAAGCTGTGAGTGTCACTTCCTGTCAACAATGGAGGCAAATGGAGGGAAACTGATTTTCTTTGAATACTGAACAATATGGTTTTGGGTTTTTTTGTTGGTTGGTTGGTTGGTTGGTTGGTTGGTTGATTGGTTGGTTTTTGTTTTGTTTTTTTATTTTTTTGGTTTTGATTTTTCAAGACAGAGTTTTTCTGTGTAACAGCCCAGGCTGTCCTGGAATTCACTTTGTAGACCAGGCTGACCTGAAACTCACAGAGATCCGTCTGCCTCTGCCTGGGATTAAAGGTATGTGACACCACACTCAACAAACAGAGTTTTCCATCTTTTTGCTTTGGTTTTGTTTTTGTTTTTGCAAGACAGAGTTTCTCTATGTAGCCCTGGCTGTCCTGGAACTCACCTGCAGACCAGGCTGGCCTCCAACTCAGAGATCCGAGGATAAAACTGATTCTCCAAAGTTGTTCCCTGACTTCCACATATGTGAGCGCGCACGCGCACACACACACACACACACACACACACACACACACACACACACACTCTCTCTCTCTCTAAAAAACACATGCATGCCCATGGACACACACAAACACACACATATACATGCACTCGCCAAATAAATAGGTAGATTTAGCTGATACCAGTCAGACCTTACATTTTTAAGTAACTTTTTTCTTTGTTTCTGTTTTTGTTTTCTTTAAGAGAGAGAAAGAACATGAAGTTGGGGGAATAGGGAATGGGCATGATCTAGGAAGAGTCAGGGGACAGGAAAGAATACAATAAAAATAGGCTGTATGAAATTCCCAAATAATATATTTAAAAAAAATAAATCTTTTTAAAAATTAAAGTATATTCTATATTTAAAAAAAAATAAACTTCGCTTCAAGTCATTCCAGGGTTAAATCCGACCTTTGATTATTCATTACTTGAGAACAAATACTTACAGTGGCCAAAGTGTACAGGTTAGGGAAGGTTTTTGTGGGGTACACAGGCCTCATGTAGGGAGCATGTGTGCCACAGGAACCTGGAAGTAGAAAATGCGTTATCAGGACAAAAAAACCACCCAGAACCACTTTGTGTAGAAAATTCATTTCCTCAACTGTGAAAAACACATTACTCTTCCTTTTGTATTTCCAGTAATGAAATTTATTTAAAGGAAGAAGAAGAAAGAAGGAAGGAAGGAAGGAAGGGAGGGAGCGAGGGAGGGAGAGAAGGAGGGAAGGAAGGAGGGAGGGAAGGAGGGGGAAGAAGGAAGGAAGGAAGGAAGGAGGGAGGGAGGGAGGGAGGGAGGGAGGGAGGGAAGGAAGGAAGGAAGGAAGGAAGGAGGGAGGGAGGGAGGGAGGAAGGAAGGAAGGAAGGAAGGAAGGAAGGAAGGAAGGACAGTGGCTCCATGGCTCTAGAAGTCCACAGCAGAGCGATGACTATCCTGGAAGACAGATGAGAACATGTAGTAGAGAAGTGACTTACGTAGTTTCTCAATGTTGGGCATGACTTTGCTGCCTTTCTTCATGTACGATGCGCGGAACCCATCCACAGAGAAGATGATGAGCGGAGGGCGGACAAACCTTAAACGGTAACACAGGAAATCTCAGGGAAACTACTGCCGCACACATTCCACAGTGAGACCCATCAATACCAGAGAGACCCAAGAAGGGAGGAATGTGGCCAAGCCTGGACTCCCAACCACACAACATTTGAGGCAACTGAATTCAGAGATAAATTGGCAAAGTCACCATGGCCAAGAGAAAGCTGACTCTACTGTTGTTTCCTACCTTGTAAACAAGGACCTTATACCACAGTTGAATATCTGTATGTATTACGTATTATGTATTTATTATGGATTGTCTCCCAGTTGGAACCTGGAAAGTTCTTATCCATTCTTTAAAACTCAGCTCAAAGTTGCCTTTTCTATGATTAGTTGCCCATGCCTCCATATTCTTTCATGATATTAAGACACACCTCCTTTGCATTTATATATACATTATTGTGTATCTTATTATAGTCATCTGTTAATAGGCTTCCCCTCTAGAGTTTCACAATGACCCAGAACTTGCTATGTAGACTAGGCTGGCTTCAAGCTCGCAATCGTCCTGCCTTAGCCTCAGTGGATTACAGTCTTGTGCCACCAATGTCTGGTGTCAATAAATACTCATCAGATATATTAGTGAACTACTGACTACATGAGTGATGTAAAATTAACAACAATAACACTCTTTCCACTAGACCTAGGCATCATAAAAATTCCTTCAGTTTATTATAAAATTGTTTCCAAGATGATTTAAATTATAAAGGATTTTAAAAGTCTCTATCAGGCAAGGACTCACTAATCCAGGTCAAGAATGGATGAAATGGTACAGTATTATCCTAAGGGTGTGGTTAGTCAGTCATAGCAGAATTCTGATCTATGTGCAGAATTCTTTCTAATAATTTGAAGTTAACTGAGCAACTCTTAGCTTGTGTCTATGAGAAGCCGTGTAACAAGTAAGACATTTTAAGGGGGCCATGTATAAAACAGTCAGAAATTGTTTCATCCCATTCCACATATCCAAAGTGTTTAGATGTCTTTATTTTTCTTTCCTTTTATGCCTAATTAAGTTTTTTTTAAGGAAGGAAAAATAAAGATAACTAAACACTTAAATTCTGCATCCCAGACTGTAATACATATATACATACATACATATAGATATTTAAAGACTATATAAATTATGAAAACACATTTGTTGAAAACGTATTTTCTGCCAAGCATTGTAAAGACCCATGAAGTCTACACAGTTTCCTGGAAGGCATAAGTGCCCAATTTTGGTCACACTTGAGCTGTTAGGTGTCACTGAGTTTGACTGTCCCCCAGCAAGACACCCCTTTGTCAGCATAGAGCACTTCTACCGAATCTGGTAGGGGGAACCTTCTTGGATGACAGCTTTTAGAAGTTCTAGAAATCTCCTTCCTTTCCCCTCCTTCACACATTCACCAAGGCAAAATCAGAACTCAAGGGAAAATACTCAGGGGGAGGCCCAGTAGGAGAGCAAGCAGGGAAGCCCTGGAGGAAACGCATCCGTTAGTGGTCAGCAGATGCACGTCGGTGGACCACAGCAGACGCCAAGACTCCAGGGTGCACAGCAGCGACCGGAGAAGGATGCAGGAAAAAAGAACATCAAAGCTTCAAGCTTCGACTGGCGACATGGCTCAGCAGCCGCCTGCTGATCTGAGTTGATCTCCGGAAGTCATGTAAAGACAGAGGAGAGAATCGACTCCACAAAGTTGTTCTCTGACCTCCACGCGCTTTGGCACGAGCACTTACATATACATCCTGCGCACACATGCACACACACACACACACACACACACACACACACACCCCACACACACACACACACTAATAATACACAAATGTGTTTTGTTTTACTTTTTAAAGCTTCAAGTTAGCTTGACTGGCAGTCTATTTATAAGAACGCATACAAGTTTATGTGTTGAAGTGGATGTCCATCTTAAAACATTTGTAGCCATTTACCCATCTATTCTTCATGATGGTTTATCAAGGAATGTGGAATAATAGTTCATAATATCCATAAGACAAAATGCACTCACCCTGCAGGGCATTCGGGAACTTTTATTTCTTCACAGTCATCATCTACCCAGTGTGACTCTCCTACAAGGAAAAATGGGGACATTTATTGTGAAGTCTATTTATAGACACCATCCAGAGGGGAGAAGCACAATGCCAGAATCTGTGTCCTGTTTGGTACTTGTTTCTGGGACACCATCTAAAAAGAAATTCTGAAATAAAGTCTAGTGTCTGCTCTGGCTTTTAAAGTACACCCATACATGGTGGGAAAGCTAAGATTTAATAACCTCAAGTGGTGTTTATTTCAGCTTTCAGAGCCTAACTGGTTTGTAGATTTTAAAAAAAAAGTGGCGTCAGTGGACAAGATTTCATGTTTGTTTCCCTCCAAAAATAAACTGTTTGGTCATTAGATGGAACATTCTCTCCCTCCATGGCCACTAAAGATTTCAAAGCCATAGAAAGCATGACACAACTTCCCTTCAGATAGAGAAAAGGTTTATGTTGTTATAATAATATACAAGGATAACATGGAAAATTGCAAGAGATTTTTTTTCCAACGAGAATGTGTATAGTACTGAATAAATGAAAAATCCAAGCTGTATTTCATTCTTACCTTGCATCAAGATCTGAGAATGTAAGTCCTACATGTGTGGAGGCCACAGGTCTATGTCAGATCTCTTTTTCTGTCACTATCCATATGCTTTTCTGAGACAAGATCTCTCAATGAACCTGAAGTTCACGGATTGGCTAGACTTGCTGGCCAATGAGCCCCCAGAATCTTGCTGTCTTCATCTACCACCTTGCCTAGCTTCTTACACGAATTCTGGGGACCTGAATTCAGATCCTCATCCTTTCACTGAACCATCATTTCCTCAGCCCAGAGTTATTTAATTAGGCTTCTGCTCTGGTTTATACCCCAGGAGTTCACAAGCTACAGTATCCATCTCCAGTGTTTCAATGTTGAAGCCGTAGAGCCTTTAAGAGGTGGAGCCCATGGAAGGAAACTAGGTTGTGGGAGGACCATTCTCACAAGAGATGAATGCATGTATCTTAGGACTTCATTAGTTCCCACAAGAATGAAACGTCTTCTGGTTGTTTGGCTCGAACTATTTGCGAGGCACACAGGCAGGATTGGGATCCATCCCTGGTGCATGGACAGGCTTTTGGGAATCTGGTGCCTGTGGTGTGATGCCTTGCACAGCCTTGGTGCAGTGGGAAGGGGCTTGGACCTGCCTAGGGTCAGTGTGCCGGGCTCTGCTGACTCCCCATGGGAGACCTCGATTTGGGAGATGTGGGGATGTGGGGTGGCTTGGGAGAGAGGGCTGGGGGTGGTGTGTAGAATGAGTAGAAAATTACTTAATAAAGAAAAATGAAAAACAAAACAAAACAAAAAAAAGAATGAAACACCTTCATTGTGGTAGAATCTGCCCTGTTACAATGTAGACCAAAAGTCATCATCAAGGGTCAAACAGATGGATGGGACTTTCCAATCGGGGACTTTAAGCCTCTAAACTGTGAGCTATCTCATCCATAAAAAGGCCTAGCAACACAAGAGATATAAAGTCGGCATTCTTTGAAAAAAGAATTGTCAATAAGCATTTACCTTAAGTTTCTCTAAGATAGACAAAAATTACTTGTCTTGAACTGATGTAAAACTTGCGACCAATATCTTACAGAATTTCCTCCCATATATAGAACACTTGGAAGTCTCCCATGGCCCAGAACCATCTGGCTATTGGATGACCATATAGGCTAGTAAGGAAGCTGAATTATCTTTACGAAGCATGAGTAGCTCAGGGCAGCCACGTGAAGCTCACTACAGTATTGAAATCAGAATTCAAACTACCAAAAATGGCCTTAACCTGTCATGATTCAGTGACTGATGGGATCCAAAGACCTTTCTCCTTGTTTTTTTCCCCTTCCTTCTCTTAATAGCCTTGATGTCTTCCTGTTATACTTACTACATAAAGATTAAAAGGAAAGGAGAAATAAATTCTTGATGAATGTCATGCTTCAAAATAAGAGCATAACGGTTAGAGAAAGCTTCACAAAGCAATAGCAGTAAAGGAAGGTCTCCAGAGCCACTTACACCTCACAGAAACGACTTCCTCCTTTCATGAAATCGCTTCCTTTTTTTTCTTAAGTAGGGATTTAATCCAGGGTCTTGCACATGCTATCTGCCTAACTAGCCCTTCCCTGAAGTCATTTAACAGAAACGCTTCATAAACTTTCTGTGCCAGAGAGGAAAAGGTCTTAATTTAGGAGATAAGAGGTGATGTAACCTAGAGAGATTTTTTTTTAAAAATCGTGTTTTCTTGTTTAAACATCTCTAAGTGGCTGTCATGCTTCCTTAAATGTCTTGATATATGGAGCCGTAATGTATTCTGTACGCCACTGGCCATTAAGATCATAAAAACATCATAGTCTACCATCAACACACATGCACATACATATTATAAAATAAGGCTTTGGGTGTAACTAAATCTGTTGATTCTTTATTACCTCCACCAGCAAGCACCTCCTGCCCTAAGCTGCTGCTTAGGGCCTTGGCAAACAGCTTACATCCACTGAGAACAAAAGTCATGCTCCGATGTTTCAAGGGACTCTGTGATTTACCCTTTGCCACAGAGTCTCTTTTCCTGTCGCTGTGATAAAACACTCTGCAAATAGCAACTCCAAGGAGAAAGGGTTTATTTCAGCTCATGCATCCAGGGGCAGTCCACCATGGAAGAGGGAAGTAAGGCAACAGGGATTTGAAGCAGCCCGTCTTAACCTTGTTCACAATTAGAAAGAGCAGAGCCAAAACTGCCTGCTAGTGCTCAGCTCCGTGGTATACAGTCCCGGAGCCCCTGCCTAGGGAATGGACCTGCCCACAGTTAACATGGGTCTTCCTAGTAAAATGCTCAGTCCTAAAGAGGACATTTGTACAACCCGCTCTCAGGCTCAAGGAATACTGTGGAAGAAGCATGGAAAGAATATAAGCGCGTAAGGACAGGGAGAGGAGCTGTAAAATGCTATCTGCTGAGCATGGCATAGCCAGTGCGCTCATACCCCGACGGCGGCTGCAGATGCCTGCAATGGACCTGCACAAGAATGAGGCTGCCAGCAGCTAAGCATCAGCCTAAGAGGGAACTGCTGTGACCCACTGGCTGCTGCTGAATTCTAGGGAGGAGGCAGTTAAACCTAAGGCCACACATAACTGGACATGGTTACATTCCATGGAACTTAAAACAAAATGTCATAAATGTGGGAAACATACTTATAGGGAAGGGGAGAATGGGCGTAGCAGGGAGGTAAAAATAGGTGAAGGACTACGGTAAATAGAAAGCACTATCTACAATACATGAAAGTTATCAAAGAACAAATTCTGTAAAATTTATTTTAAAAATACATGTCTTGGGAACCTGAGAGGCTGCTCGATGGTTAAGAGCACCTACTGTTTTTCCAGAGGACCAGGGTTCAATTTCTAGCATCTACATGGTAACTTACAACCATCCATCACTCCAGGTCTAAGGGATCTGACACCCTCTGCCGGCCTCCATGGTAACCAGGCATGCATGTGGCTCACAGACATGCATGCATGTGGCTCACAGACATGCATGCATGCAGGCAAAACACTCATACACATAAAATTATAATTCTGAGGCTGGAGAGAAGGCTCAGTGGTTAAGAACACTTGTTGCTCTTTCAAAGGACTCAAGTTTACTTCCCAGCACCTACATGGTGGCTTATAACCATCCATAACTCCAGTTCCAGACAATCTGACACCCCCTTCTGATATCCACAGGCACTGCACACACATGGTGTGTCTATATCCATGCAGGCAAAACACTCATACACATCAAATAAGTATATCAAAAAAATGCAATTCTTTCCCACCTCCAACCCCCACACGTTAGACGTTATACCCAAACAATTCAAGATATCTTGGGGCGTGCCCCGTGTTTAATCTCTCAAGGTTGTCTAAAAGCATGTACCTTTGCAGACCACTTGGTAGTTGGTACAGCAGTCTCCCCTGGACAGGCAGTCTTCTGAGCAGTGACAGGCATTCTCCTCATTTCGTACTTCTCCACATCTGTCTTTGGTGCACTCCCAGCCACGAGCTGAAATCATCACAGCGAAACACTCTCACTGCTGCACACAAACCCAATGAAAGAGGCCACAGCTGCTTACAAGAGGTTCCAACACAAAGAGCCAGAAGCCCACATCATTTAATCTGTTTGTGAAACTTGAGTCAGCCAGAGGCCGAGGAGACATTTGGAGAACTGACAGATAGGATGAATTTCTCATTTTTCAAAGCAGAGGGCAAACTCACAGCACAACTGAGCTCTCATAGAAAAACAAAACCCAGAAAGCCAAAGAATTCCCACCCCTCCAGAACTGCCCTAAGTACCACAAAAAGAGAAAGAGTATAAGGAAGCATTAATGCCCTCAAAATCCTAACTGACCAAAATGTGGCAGGCTGCATAATGAAGCTCCCTGCTTCTAAGGAGGTCACTAAATGGGCTACAGTCCTGCCTGAGTGATAGCTCAGGATTCAATTCTTCAAAGAAACATTCAAAAAAGTAACCTTTTCATTTTAATCCCAGTGCTATTGTCATATTTTTAATTAATTTTTTTGGCCAATAAACTACAAGTCTTATGGAAAGTTTAAAAAAAAAACATATTTCACTATTATATTTCACTTCAGATATAAGACTATGAAATTAACTGGCACATTCTAGCTGTTCATTGAATACTTATTAAATGTCCTTAGAACAGTATTGGAAATGAACTATGATTCTTGAAAATGAGGACTGTAACATAAGGAGCTTTTATGGTGAATCCAGGTATTTAATTTTTCCCATGATCTGACTGTCTCGTTGTTTTCCATACTCTGGGTGCTGAGGGTTTAGTGAAGAGCAAATGACAAGAGCTCTGTCTTCCTGGAGCTCACATCCAAGAGAGAAAGATCCATGAGGTAACCAACAGGCACTATCATTTAGCCATGGGAAGGCGTGAAGGAGACTGTAGTAGAGCTACTGAGGGAATGTTCAAGGAAAATGTCTCTGAACCAAAATACACTTGAATACTTCAGGCCTCCATCTTTCAAGATGTGCAGTCAGCAGAAAGAAGCAATGGGCCACTAAACCAGCCGTTCTCAACCTGTGGGCCATGACCCCTTTGGAGGATGAATGACCCTTTCACAGTGGTTGCCTGAGACCATCAGAAAACACAGATATTTACACTACGATTCATAACAGTAGCATCATTACAGTTATGAAGTAGCAATGAAAATAATTTGTAGTTGAGGGTCACCACACCATGAGGAACTGTATTAAAGGGTCACAGCATTAGGAAGGTTGTGAACCACTGCTCTAAAGCAAGGCTGCTCCTTCATGACATTCTACCAAGAGGAGCCCTTAGGTAGTTGAATAGACAGAGGTGGAACAGTCAGTGGATGGTGTTCCAGCTGTTTGATGGAGCATTATGCTGCCATTTGAAAAGATAGTGTTTTAAAAGCCTTATAGATATAGATTCTGCCTCCCACGTGATTGTATATACATACACACATAATTATACATAAATATCCAGACAAACTAAACAGAGAGAGAAAAAACCGGGGAGAGTTTATACAGAAATCTTAAGCTTGCTTCCTGTAGCAGAACCTCAAAAAACTTGTCTCCTTTCAGCTTCTTATTGTTATTTGACATTTGATTCTTCCACATTCAAAACATGTTGACTTTAGACACGGGAGAATAAAGTGTTTTACAAAACGTTGCTATCGTCTGTGTTAAACTAGGAAGGAAGGCGTGAGCTACTAAAAGAGAATGAAGCTAGTATCAGAGGTGCAGGGAGTTTTAAGACGAGAATGTTGGAAGGTTGACGTAACTCATCAGGGGCAAGACACTCAAAGTACGGCAGAAACATAGAATGTTCTAAAATCTGATGCTAAGCAGACAGATTGCTAGCTTGCAATTATGTCTTAGAGTAAAAGAGATCTGTGGGACATCTGTTCTACCCATGCACTCAATTTACAAGAGCCTCAGCTCTTAAGCTTACGAAGTCATAGCTGAAGAACCTGGTAAAAGTTCCACAGGAAATGCACAACAAAAACATATCTGAACACTTTGAAAATGCATTATGCAAAAATAACCTAATGAAACCCCTATAGTTTGCAGACTGCGGGAGAAATAGGTCCTAATTAGTAAGGGAGTTTATGTTGATTTTCAAATAAATTAGAAACTAAGGTCTAAGTAAAAGCAATAATGTATCATTTCCAATAATATCATAAAAAAAAGATCAGACACATAGCAATGGTAAACTGGGGTTTCCAAAATACCACGCATGCATGGAAGCAACAATTTGTCAGGGGAGCTAAGAAATCTGTCTCCAGTGTTCAAAGTGGGGTCCTTGCCACTTTTCTTAGGTAGGTTGAATGAGGTTTTTGCCCAGGGGCAGAGGCATGGCCGTGAACAGGCAAGATACTCCAAAGTCCTATCTAAAAACACTGGGCTTTGAAAACAGAGTAAGTATGATGACAAAAGTCCCCAAGAATACTTTTTCCTTGGCTTGTGTGCATTCATCCAATAGCTCATATGTTCTAATGACCATTCTACTACAGGATAAATAAAATCAGGAAAACTTTAGAAGATGATTTCATTGCTGCCCCAGAGCACAAGACCCCATGCCGATTCCATTTGCACAGAAATCAGGGAATTAAAGTTTTAAACCTAGTACTTTAAAAATGTGCCCAGTGGTGGCCCACATACCCTAGTAGTGAGTTTGAGGTGGTCAGGAAGAGATGGAACTGAGAGAGATGGACAAAGGCCTGGCCTCAAAATGCTTTTAAAAACCAATCTACAGTGCCTGCCATTGGAAAGTGCCGTCTTTGGCTGGGCTGAGCCAAGTTATTCATACAGAGTACATTCTTCATACAACCATCAGTCATTCAGGAAACAAACTTATTCCACTCTGTGCGTAGGCCAAAGCAGAGGTGCGTTAACAGCTAGGAGCCACTAAGCCGTCTCCTGGAGGGGAGAGGCATCCAGAAGTCACATACCTGTTTTCAAACAGAGCTCATCAAAGTCATGGCAGCAGCTGCTGTAGCTCTTGCATAAGTTGTCACACCGACAGTCGGGAGGTCCAACCTCTTGAAGTTCAAAGCATCTACCCTTGCAGGATCCAGAGGTGTTGGTCCACGGAGAGTCAGATAACACTGCCGTTCGAACAACAGGCAAAGACAACAGCTTAGGGAGTGGTCATGTCACCAGTGAAGGAGTGGCATTTGGAAGCAATTGGTGTGGAAATGCCATCAGACTCTGGAGGAGAAGCCTGTCTGCAGCGCCTGCTACCTGGGTACCTCATGCATGTTGCCCAACTTACATAAACCATGGTTTCCTTATTTGTAAAGCGAGAGGTTCATAAAAGTAATTCTAGATTGTAATGAGTACGGAATGAAACAACCCATGTGATATGCATACCAGGATACCAAATAGAAACAGAGTAACAAATGCTGGCTCTGCTCCTGATTTTGATTAGGACTATGCCTATGAAATGGCTGGTGCCTCTATTGAAATAAGAGTTCATTTCCTATTTTTAAAACCCATCCTGCTAGCTGAGCATGATCAAGCACTAAGGAAAGAAAAGAAGATTCAAGGCCAGTCTGGGTTGCGTAGCAAGATTCTGGGTGTAAAGTTGTCACCACCAACAACACTGGAAGGAAATTTGAGTGGGAGTGGTCTAAAAACAGTCTGAACACATATGATAAGAGCAGAGCACTTTTGCAATCTCTTCTCACCATAAAAGCCGTGTCAATCTAGTGTTATTGGAACACAAATGCCACATGGCCAAAACAAATCCTGTATCATTGTTTGCATGTGATATAATCTAAAAATCTCAAAAATTAACCAAAGTTTAATAAATGAAAGAATGTGATAAGATGAAAATTGGACAAATTCATCGTATGTGGGTAACATATGATTGAAAATTAACTAGAAGGTCTACCCATAATAGCATCTAAATGAAAAATCAAGATATGAATTCAATAATACATATGAAGAAATGATTCAATGATTAAGAGCACATACTGCTCTTACAGAGGACTTAAGTTTGGTTTCCAGTATCCATATTGGGTAGCTCATAACTAACTATAACTCCAGCGCCAGGGAATCTGATTTCATCTCTGGCCTCCATGGGCACTGCACTCATTTGTATACACACACACGCACACACATACACACACACACACACACACACACACACACACAATTAAAAATGAAATCCTTTTCTAAAGAATATACTAAAGCTTTATGAAGAAGACAATTCTAGAAAACTTTAGTTAAATCATAGGCATACAATTTTAAAGATTAAAAAATATTAATACCATAAAAATCCTAATTCATCCTAAACCAAAATATTCAATATACTCACAAAGAAAAATATCCAGAATTCTAGAGAGTTGAGAGGATAGAAAAAGCTAACTGAAACTGGGTAGTGGTGGCACACAGCTTTAGTCCCAGCGTTTTCGGGGGCAGAGGTAGGTGGATCTCTGAGTTTGAGGTCTACAAAGCAAGTTTCAGGACAGCCAGAGCTACACAGAGAAACACTGCCTCAATAGATGATAGATAGATAGATAGATAGATAGATAGATAGATAGATAGATAGATAGATAGATAGATAGATAGACAGATAGATAAGGTATCCAAAGGAAAAAGCAATTCAGTGACAAGATAGAAAAGTATATTCTGAAGGTAAATAATTGAGGTTGGTACTAAGAAATACATTCATCAATACTGTGGATGAGGTCCAGAAATAAAGCTAAATACATGAGTTTGTTGTTTAAAAATAGCATTTCAAAAACAAAACAAAACATCTCCTAGTTTGAAATTTGCAACATTTTATAAATTCACAGATAATTGTCTGGCCGTTTTATTCATTGTCTTCTATTTTCCATGCTTGTAGGGAGATGAAATATATATCACAATATATGTAACAGCTCTTGGCAAATATTATTTATGACATGCTTTTTGTAACTTCTGTATTTAGAAAATTACCATTTTTGTAATACATATATATCATTTTTAAAATCAAGAAAAAGCAAGATGCAAGAGAAGAGATATTAAATGATCATTCTGAGTGCACTGATGCCGTTTATCTGAGTATGTAGTTCATCCCTTAGTCAACTGTCCCCTTCAGAGTCAGAATCACCCAATCCTAGACTTTATGGCATCAGATCAGTTGAGCTGAAGCAAACAGATCCACTAGACCGTGAGATGTGAAATGCTTTCTCACAGTTCATTCCGGGATGTTGAAATAAAAAGGAACCACATCAATTCAGTTTAGAAAATCATGTCTGTTTGTAACGCAGTGTCTTACCTCTGCTCCACAAACCACATTTTTCTGTTGATTTTGGCCAGCCTATCAGTAGTACATGCTGAGCCATAAGAAACTATGGCACGCAAGAAGGAAAACTAGAGGGGGGAAAAAATCCCACAGCAAAAGGGAAAAGAGTGAAAAACTTGTAATTGAATGTTCTTTGTTGAAGGGTAGTGCTTGGATAGAATCATTCCAACAGCTGCCTAATAAATTCAAAGTAGTAATCACTCCCATGAGCGGTGTCTGTAAATGCGCCCAGCTATTCTAATAGCCAAGGTAATGAGAAGAAGTCTGAAGGCATTGTTCATCCTGTCGTGCCCTCTTTGTGGGGTCCCAGCCAGTAATACTGTCTATGCTCCGTGTTTGTATCCCTCATCGAAATCTCTTCCCTAGATCTTTCTTTACTTTAAAATGCCTGTACACTTCCTAAGCTGGGTAGTGGTCATTCTTTGCCCGTCCTCACAAGGTGATTTTGTAAACATTTCTTTTGACCACAGCCATTCTCTCAATTTTCCCCTTGCCATCTTTGGAGAGGACTGCACCCCACTCAACAGCTTGCCTTCTCAGCTATGGACCTGCTTGCCAAGATGTCCACTAAGACAGCTGTGAAAGTTGCATCTCTACTGCAGAGATACATCTCAGAAAAGTTGGGCAGGGTCAGGCTACCAGCAGCTTCCGTTAGGAGTGAGTTCCCGTGTGAATCAGGGGAAATGGGCCGAAGTTCATTCTCAGATGACAGTGGCAAATCAAACTAACAACATCAGGAAGAAAAATGAAAAGATCATCTGAGTCATAAAAGAGACTTTCTCATCCAATGATCCCAAGGAACTTGAAATGTTCTAGCTTTAAAGACAAAAAGAGAGCCAGACATGGTAGCAAATGCTTTTGATCCCACCACTCAGGAGGCAGAGGCAGTAGATCTCTGTGAGTTCAAGGCCAGCCTGGTCTACATACTGAATTCCAGGACAGCCAGAGCTACATAGTGAGACCCTGTCTCAAAAAAAAATAAAATCAATCAGTCTATCAATAAAAACAAAATAGTGCTTGAATTGAAAATTCACTTGGCCTTTCCAAGGTCTACTCCATCCCTTCTCCCTGCTGCCAGAACAAGCGTAGTCCTGTTCATTCTACAAGTCACCCTCTGCACACTAGCTTTAAAACAAAAAAATGCCCAAGGTCTTTGTTCTTCTCCTACATCCAACCTAAGGATCGATTTGTTTTGTTTTGTTTGGGGGGAGTTTTATTTATTATTTTCTTATCCATGTGGATAACGTGCATGTGTGTAGGTGCACATGCTATGGCACACACGTGGAAGTCAGATGAAAACTTTGTGGAATTGGTTCTTTCCTTGCACCTTTACATGAGGTCCATGAACGTCGGTCATCTGGGCTCAAGTAGCAAGCACCTTCCCCCGCTGAGGCATCTCACTAGCCATAGACCTTTTGAAGACTTATCTTTTTATTAGAATTGATCTAATATCAAATATGGAAAGGGTCTTCAATAACGTGCCAGAGTTTTGCAATGTAAACCTTTCTTTATTTGATCTCAACAGAAGAGAAGCATGGGCGCTTCAGTTCCGTAACTCATTGAGAGGAGGAAAGCGACATGGCAATGAATTGCTGCCATCCCCAAATTTCCATCGTTACTGAGAAAGCCATAAAAATCACAGAATATGAAAGATGAAAGAGCAAGCCAGTGACAAGCATTCACAAGTGAGAAGAAGAGGGTGTGATGGAGGCGTTTGCCAGGACTCCTGTGACATTGAAATTATAAGCTGCCTTTAATCTGCATCTTCAAATGATGCTATTTCACGTCAGAGATGAAGTCTGTTCTCTAATTTTAAAAAGCAAACGTTTACAGGTCTATATAAGATGATTCTGAGGAACCTTGAATGTTAAAATGGATATCACACAATTATAATCTGCAACAGCGCCCATGCTGTGTGCTCCTTCTCACCGAAGTATAATTTCATGGTTTAACAAAATGCAAATGTAAATTACAATTTCTTCCTTTCAAATCTGTAATTCAGATAAGAACAGGCATGATTACTTTAAATTAGTTAAATAAAACCCCTTTTCAAGGACATTTCATTTCACTGTATACACAGAGGTGGAGAGGGAGGGAGAGGGGGAGGGGGAGGGAGGGAAAGGGGGAGAGAGGGAGGGCGAGAGTTAAAGCTATAAGCCTTTGGTATCATTTATTCTGCAGATGTATAAAAACCATGAACTATTGACAATTGAATTGGACAACTGGGAAGAGTCTAACTGATGGACAAGGGCTGTTACCAAAACTGACTCCATCCTATACTCTCAATCATATTTCTCTCTAAATCTCCCAGCTAAGTAGAAAATTCAAATCTGGAAGATGGTCAATAGGAGAGGTGATGTTTAAAGTTTCAAGGACTTCAGCCTAGCCTCAAGATAGATGGACTTAAGTTTCTACTACTAGGTTGGTCCCACTGGCAGGGTTACACGTTGTCCCCTATCTATCCCTCCTGTTCTCCTTGGTGCTCAGTGCAGGTTGTCTGCGGAAAACACAGCCCTGAAACGGCCTGTGGGCTGATCGTATGCCGGCTTCTTCTCTCAAAAGCATGAAAACAGAACCAGTTCCCTTGGGTCTGCTGTCCTGTCCCAAGTGTAATCTGCCAGCCAAGGCTTGGAACATGTGGTGGGCATTCAGGGTGCCGCTCGGCTAGAGCCTGGAATGCCGTCATCCACCTCTTCTGGATCATCCCTTCTTGACTGAGCTGCCCCTCCCCCCATGTTCTCTGGGTGCTTTGGTATCATCCCTTCGCCAGCAAGCACCATCGGTTTATTCGCAGACCCGTGTGTCAGTTTTCAC